TTTATTGTAGGTATAATACTTTTTATAGAATTGTTATAATGTATTTGAATAAAGAATATGTACAGATAACTGCGAAAAACAGTTAAGGCAGTGACATTAACTTTAGGTTAAACTTCGTGCAGGCTGGTAAGAACTCAAGGAACCTACAGTTGGATGGACACTAAGTCTAGAAATATCATGATACGGACATAAATGACCGACGTGGACGACTTTTGAACTCATAAAGTAAATTTAAAAAAACCGTTTGAAATTTACTTATCTTGTTCTTATTTATTTTTGAATACAGATTTCGGATTATCGCCCCGCCCCTGCCGAATTTTAATTCTTTATTTGAATATGCAAACTCTATTCGTCGCTCGATTAACAGATGGTATTTATTAACAAGAAAATCCTTCTAAAAAGTTGAACTGACTTCTAACAAAGAGCACTAAAACCCTAGCAGCAATCGCGGTTGATTTGCCGTTATTTTTTGAACAGTTCTGTTGTCTGTCTGTCTGACGAAAGAGACCGAAACTCATCATCTATATGAAATTTAAATAGAACCATTTCGGAATAAACCCCTTTTGAACAAAAAAATAATTTTGAAAATCTGTCCGTGAGTTATGACCAAACATAAAAAAAATCTAAACAACCGAATTGATAACCTGCTCCTTTCTGTCGTCTGTCGGTTAAAAAATAAATATAATTGATAATCAATACGTCGATATCGTAAAGAAATTGCGTGCATGTAATCACTGTACCTAAACTTATTACAAAGTAAAAGCTACGTAATCGCAAATATTACAACATACTCGGGCGTAATGACACTCGCGTGAGGTTACAGAGTGCGCCATGACGATAAAACCTACACGACAACGCAACAGAGACAATCCCAAGGTATAACCAATAATAATATCTTGACACATCTCAAACACGGTTTTGTGATCCCAAACTAGCCAGAGCCTGTATACTATGCTGTCCAGACTGCTAGTCCGGATGTCTTAATAACAGCAGTTCCGAGATTTCTCCCATTTCAGGCGCAGATTGGCACACGGTGTGGTTTTAGTCGGCCTGATCCCGACACACCACCCCGCCGAAAACCTCGGTGGGATGATGGCCTGAAGGAGTTTCCACGCGTAAAAAAAATGGTATCCAGACTACTGATAAACATTTATTTTAGAACACATGCATATTTTAGATTAATTATACTCAGACACAGAACTGCTCATCGTGCTTATGACACAATTTTTGTTTTGGGTGGAAACCAAACCCACGGCCTACCATTTAAAATATTTGAAGCTCCATTAACTATAAAATTCATTTTCAAGTTTCAAATCACAATCCTCAATTCGTCCTCTTTGTCCTGCAATACTTACTACAAACGAGAAGTTATCGCACGGTCCCAGATTATAGCATAGATTAACTTATCTATACTATCTTTTAATTTTTGCGTTTCATAATAGACATTTAATTACTTCGGGATTTAACTGATTAATAGATATCAACTACATTGAACTTGCCTGACATTTCGACCACGTTGCACAGGCCCTGCTCATATATGTGGACTCCGCCTATTTATCGCGTTAGCATATCTACTACTATATCTTATTCATTAAAATGATGCAGAATGAATTTCTGTTTTTATAATAATATACTGGAGAGCAATAAAGTGAATATTAATTGTATGCAGTTGCCAGCGGGCAGCACGGAACTCAACCCGAACATGCTTGGAACGAGATCTGACGATGTATGAAACAACTAAATACTCCCTGATCAGATCTCAGATATCTTTTGTATTTTGCCACAATATTAAAAAAAAGAAACTTGCTGCACAGAATGCCAAACAGCATAACCGAAGCAATAACTAATAACAGTATTTGTAGGTAACGCAAAGTACCTACTTTCAAAAAAAAATGATGTACATATAAAATATGATAATTTTATATTTTTCTTTAAAACGATTCTTTATTTTTTTATGTATTTTTTATGAATAAAATATTAGGTGAAAAATATTTCTTTTAAAGACGTATTTCACTGTGTAATAAACACCGTTTGTGTCACTGAGCATTCTTAGTGTCTCGAGATTTTTATTAGATATCTTTTTGTGATCCAGATTGAACGCCGTCGAGTGTATATTTCGTAAGCGGATGTATAAATGCAGATGTTAATATCCACAGAAACTGGAATCCTGTCATCATTGGTGACGTTAATGGGCCCCGTGACGACTTAGTCCAATAATCAAACGATAACAACGGAACCGTGGCCAAAATAGTTATTTTAGTCCAATATATCCTCTACCGTCCTTTTTCATCCCTCCTCCATCTAGTTACTGCTAAGAGGTAAGCTTTATTACAAGAACCGACTCTCACTTTTTAATTACTTTTACAAGACTTGTTTGCTAGATGCATTTTAGAGTTTCACTTTTGCATCCTTCAAGTTTTCTGCAATTAACGACGGTTTGGTAAGTAACCACCGGATGACAGCTATCTATATAAACTCATGGTAAGTAAAATATATAACTGCTGGTAAAATTAAAAACCGGAGAAGTGCGACACTGAACATTCCCTACAATTGAATGAAAGACGCATCTTTAATATACATTGAATTGCAAATATAAATTTGTAACAAAAAAATGTGAGAAAATAGACCATGACAGACAGACGACCAACGTATTGCTCTTATAAAGGTTTCTTTTTCCTTTAATGTACGAAACCTAAACGTGTGTTTTACACCTTTTATTGTAAATATATTTGAATACACATACATGTATAGCAGGTCGATAATATAACTCGCATTCTTTACATTCATACAATATTCATACCTATTAATTTTCTTTTGTTATGAATTAATCTACGCGATTAATCAAACAGTAGTTTATTCTTAGTACCACAAATTGGTTGGTCACAAATGAAGTTACATTTATCGAAATTAAGGTCAAATACCATGGTGTGGAGTGGATGTATTATTGTGAACTGTGTTGTTCATGTCGAAAGTGGGCAAAAGGTAGTATTTAATGGCTTTCGGCGTCGATTTGTATACAACGCCACAGATCCGTTTAGTTATTGAATTTGATAGAAATATTTATGAACAGTTTAGGTTGATGGAAATATCTTTCTATTTCCGTACATTTGAACATTAACAGTACATCATAACAGAGCGCGCACATGACATGACGCTTCCTTTAGGTCTTCAAGCGACGACGCGGGCTTGTCGTAACGGAACAGGTGAATGATCTTGTAACTACTCACGTGGCTCTTATAGACTATTCCGATATCTTATTTATTGAGTAATATCATCGGACTCTTGAACTTGCGATATTTACGGGACATTATTCTAGCAAAAAATCGGAGTACTTAAAACTAGCTGATGTGTACTAGAAGAAAACTACAGATACATTCTTGTAAATGCTGAGTCAGCCGGTCGTTTTACATATCTTTTTTTATTTCATTGTCTAGTATAACCTGAACTACTTCTAGCATAAGGAACATCAATTGTACTAAACTTATTTGCCGGAGCTGCATATCTGTATCGCGAAATGTAGACAACACGACAATTTACAAATATTATATGTATTGAGGGCTATTTAGACAGCTAGAACGTATACAAACAACCAACAGAATAACATGGTTATATCCATGAGCTGGGCAGCATTTGTCTAAGACTGTTGCTGGTTCCATATGACTGCTGCTGTTGCTGATACAATGGCGGACAATGTCTGGCTGAAATTAACGCTGCACCAAGCAATCGATGTGCCAGACTGACAATGAATCCACGACTCGCATTACACCTCATCGTAATTTTGTATGTGAAGAAACGTCCACAGTTGACATTCATTTATTATTGTTTTAATCATTCTTAGTTGTAGGTTAGTTACTTTTGAGTTCTTTTGTTATATTTGTTTCTGCAAGTTCATTTAATTCATTAGACTTTGTTTTATTTTTATTTTGTTATTGTATAGGTAGGTAGGTATTGTAACCTGTAAAGATAGTTGAAGGATGTATACGTAAATAAATAAAAATAAAGGGCAAAGCATTTGTGTTAACTGATGGTAAAAAGTACCGCTTCCTCTGGCCACCTATATACAAATCGAGAATCACAAGTGCGTTGCTGGACTTTGAGTTGGGAGAATGTTTTTTCCTTGACGGTTCGAAGGTACCAAGGACCAATACGTGGTCCAGAATACCGCGGACGAGATTGTCTTTCACAGATTGGTTGTGCGAAGCAAAAAGGTTCTTAAAAACCTGTAGTCCAAGGCAAAAAGTTGCTGGAAAACTGACTGTAGTGGAGTGCCAGTTATTCAAATGATGTGATTTCGTTTTAAATTTTGTTATTTCATATCTAACGAATACTTGAGAGATATAATAGCTACTAAATCCAAACCTGTTTCAACTTGTGTACACAACAAAATAGATAAAAACTTGCCTTTCTAAATAGCATATTAACACAACGAATTACATGAGCTACCGACGAGTGTCCGATTCATTACTTATTTCTTGCGTCTATACTTTTTGCAATGTCAAACATCGGCCAGACATCACGTACCACTCGATGACGCGACACTATCTGCATTGCACATCAGCATCATCCTTACAGACAAAGGCTACCATCGTTTAAAGGAACACCTATATTGGTCAGCTGACAATTATCTGTTGATACCTGCATAATAAGGCAACGACAGACCATATACTTGGTGGCTAGATTATTACGATAGCTATTCTAGCTAGTGATTAATATTTGCTGAACGTATTGAGTCTACAAACTCTTCAGTCATAACATAAACCCTGAAGGTACAGTACATAATAAAGTACAACAATTAAAAGTATTTTATTTCTTACGTTTGTTGCGTACAGGAAAAATAATAAAATCTCCGAAAAAGATATGAATTCTAAGTTTCCTTATTATCAAACCACTCTCGCAAGTTTCCCAAGATATAAGTAAGTGAACTTAAGAATCGTCAACTCCTCCAAGAGATATGATATTCAATGGTTCGGAAGAACATGTTATAATTGACGACCATTCACCTAGCTGGGGGCGACCGAGCCCCGTTCGTCGCCAGGACGAAGCACGGGCGGACAAACTTCCACAGTTAGCGTCATGTTATCGTATACTATAAGTTTACCTTCTATTTCCGGACATATCAGCCTAAACAGTTCGTAAACAAGTCTATCGAGTTCACTAAACGGACCTGTTGCACTGTATACAAATCGACACCCATTACACTTCACTGCACATTAACCTACGAATGTTTATGTTTGTGCCTTTTAAAAGAAAACACACATTTTCTACTAAAACAAGTGCAAGAACACTAATGGCAACGGGGCGGCCCAACAATCAAAGAAACAGAATAATTACAGCTTGGATCCTATGGGTCAGTGCATGATGTTGTATAGTATATAAGCGCTCTTAAGAGACGAATTGTTTTTTTCAGTTTTTGACTAGCTTAAAGGATAGTCAGTTTATTGTAGATTGATGCAGAGATGGGATGCCGTACTATAAAAAATATAATATTACTGTTGGTAGCCCTTTTTTTTTGTTGACGGAATGGAAAATCCCTTCGGATCGCCGGCCCCTTGGGGATGTAGCAGCCAGGAGTATGTGGTGTTTCCACTTAAAACCACTCCGACGGCCAGCCTTAGGCGCCCTGCTCTGGGGAGAACCCGGGTCATGTGATTTCAGGTCCCCCCAGATCGACGCCGCACCTAACTAGGCCCCATCTCAGGGAAAGCCAGTGGCTTCTCAATGCCTCTCAGCCTGTCCAGATGCTGCGGCCCGATCACATTTTCAGTGCGATCAGGCTGCCATTCTATCCCCACTGTTGGTCGCCCTAGTAGCGGAGACACGCTTGTTTAAAAAAAAGAAAACAAAAACTACACGTTGTGACACAGAGGTACTCTAACAAGTTTATCGTACTAAATCTACTGGCATGACTGGGTAATGACAACCGGTTGATTGGTTTCAGATACATACTGCTACTAATTAATTAGGCGGTGCAAAACTGGAACTGCAAAAAAATGCGGTATTGATTTCATGAAATACTTTAAACATGATCGGATTTGGAGCGATAAAAGAATTCACGGTGCAAAAGAATAACCACAAACCTGGCCTTCTTCCTGCTGATCTCTTAATAAGTAAGGTTTTAGAATTGTTAACGACGTCGGTGTTGCTCAGATTGTTTCCTAACTTGCTCAAGGAAATTATTGTTTTTTTTATGGATATCCTAGCAACAATAAAAAAACGACCAAGGCTAGCCTACCGATGTGTACACGGCTATAGGTGTCAAGTATGAATAAAATGTATGATTGGTCTTTTTGAGGAATCTTGTAAGTCATGATCTTAACGTTTTTTCTACTTTTACTAGGTTTTCACTAATAAGGCCCTTTTTGTTCTTCTGAATACTCTTCTATGTCTGATCGTCTGTCCTGTCTGTCTATATTTATGAAAAGATATTTGGTCACCTCAGCTTACTAGGATAGTTAATAATTATACGACCCTAATTGTGGCAAAATATCACCGATTCTATGGACGCTCACAACAAAATTATTTCAAGTCTCTCTCGAGTCACTCACACGCACTCACACAAAAAAGTCCTTATTCTCTAAATATTTTACTGTAAAAATAGTAGGTACAACTCTATGCTGCATGTTGACTTACCTGATTTAATATTTCAAGTGAACAATATTAGCATATTTTTAAAACAAGTGATGTTACGTGCTTAAAAACTCATTACGGGACACCTAATTAGAAGACGATTAATACATTGTTTTATTATTGTGTTCTCCGTAATGGCTTGCTTATCTATTTCCGTTTGCTACGCGTTGTAAACCGAGACTTATTCGGAACTGAGACATCCAAATATCAATGTGTTGACCTAACAACTGTTGTATAGGACTGCAGTGTACATACATAAAACTATTGTAATCTATACACGTATAATAAAAAGAATCTATTTAGAGAACAGCCGATCGTTCTATTCAACAATTTGCTTGATTTTTTAAATGAATTCTCGAGAGATGCTTAAATGTAATGTCGTTCTGCACACTTCTTCCGTGTTCATAGCTTTGCTTCTCTATAGCGCCGGTTCTCATTAAGATACGTGGTTCCTTTTGGTCTAAGAAAACTCGCTGGCTTTTAGTTGAAGCTTTTGTCCGCTTAATTGGTCGAGTTGGATGGAAGCTAGGTGGTAAATGTGAACAGTAAACAGTTTGATTAGAAGTAGTTTGTGTACTGATTGCTAAGAGGGACTTTATATAAATGAGCAGATACTTAACGAAGTATATAATCTTAGGATGTTTTGGATAACATTTCTGAGTCACGGTATCAAATCTGTTTTTAAAATTATGTGATGATTGGACGTATGATTGCTTAAAGTAGCTTTACGTCATCGTAATTTGTCAGACGGGTATTGAAATGAAAGTCACTTTTCAATATTGAATGAAGTTTCTCATAATTGACTGCGATCTATCTTACTAGAAACCGCAAATGGCAGACTTTTCTGGTGACCAAAGGTAAGTTGCAATATTAATCTGTATTAAATTTATACAAATACATTTTTGTGTTTATAATTGTGATGAGCTGCAGGATCAAATTTAATTACACTTTGTTAGGTACTGATTCTTTGTTTGACTGCACGGATGGCGTAGTGGTTTAAGCGGTCGCCACGCCGCTTACTACTACGCTGAGTGTTGTGGGTCCGATCCCCACATGGGACGACACTTTGTGTGATCCACAAATTGTTGCTCTGAGTGTTCTTTGTGTTATGTATGTTTGTAAAAAATCCCCGCGACACAGGATATATTCCTAATGCGGGAGTTCTTTTTTAAGAAAAGAAAAAAAAGTATGGTCCCTATGTACCCTTTATTCATTTCCATCCCTGACAAGGTACATATGTATTACATCCAAAAATTTATGATTACTAAAACAAGAACATGTTGCACAGAAAAAACGGCTAGTTATTTAAATGAGACTTCTGAGACAAAGTACGGCCTACTTAGGCCTACTATGCCCCGGATTCTTTCAGGCAGCAATTTGATGTTTCTAAAGGTTTCTAAAGATGCTAAAGGGTAGCAATATGAGGCTAAGCGGTATTCAAATACTGGCTATGTTTCATTTACTTACCATTTTAGCGAGCATTGTATCCATCTGCGGCTGATGCGTGGCTGTGAGCAGTTGACGGATGCGGCTGGCGTTGACAACGCACTGCGCCATGCAACGCTGCAGAGCGGCCGCCTGACGGACCAGGGTCGCGCTCAGGGGTGCTTCAGCGCCAGGGGACCCAGCCGTGCCTGCTCCACGCAGGACCGTCTCGAGTACGTGTGCGTGCTGTGATACGTAGTCCAAGCATCGTCGTAATTCAACTGCCTCACGACGTTGACGCTCTGCAAATTACGATATTTTTAAAGACCTTGTGTTAATGACAATTATTTAAGAGTGAAAAACTACATTAAATAAGTTGTGTAGAGACACTGGACAGTAATCCATCAGTCATAACAACATTCTAATTATATGCCATCATAATCTTAGCTTTCGATTGTATGTAGAGAAAGAATGTATTGCTATAATATGGCATAACTAAAAAAAAATTTGGGAAGTGACATAACTGTTTTAATATTATTAAATTGAATTAATTTGAATGTGATATTACACAATTATAAAAAAAGCAGTGTTACACTTTCAGGTTTTATGTATATATTAATGCAAGTTTGCTGACTTTGACCATAACATTTAAATGCTTATTTGACTACAAAAACAACATATTATGGCAGTTATAGCCTGTGGTTTAATTAAGAACTTGTTTTATTACAAAAAATTGTCTACTCTTGGCCAATACTTGGTACAATATCTTGACGGGTAAAATAAAAAGAAGTGAGAGGGCTACAGAATAAATATAATTAATATTTGGTACGACTTTTTATAAAAGCATTTCAAATCATTATTAAAATTTTAATATATATGTAACCCTTTTCATCATTTAATTATCTTGTATTGATAATATAAAGGAACTTATAAGAGTACTGTTTCAATATTAATGTTTGTAGTACCGTTTATTTTACAATTTATTTTTAATACATACTCTTGAATACTATACTTCCAAAAAATTTAAAGTTAAAAAGAATTTGTAAGCCCTCAAATTCTTTGTTTTAAAAATTAGTTCAGTCAAAGTTTTCTATTAGTACCATATACCAGAACGTGCCAATTATAGTAAAATACTGTAGGACCGTGTAGAACTGCCAAATATTTACGCGAATTGTGTATTATTTGGATAACTTTAATACAAAATAAGCCGTTTTTTAATGAAGAATCGTAATGATTATTGCGATAAGTTGTTTACCATGAAAGTCATAAATTCTCTGAGTCCTCCTTAAATATTTTTCCTCTTGCAGCTGCCTGTCAGCTTGTGCTTGTTTTTCACGAGCCTCTAGCACCTCCAGAAAAGAAGAAAACAAGGATTTTCGTTCGTTGGAGTTTGTAACGGTTTCTTGCATCATGATTGTAATAAAACGAAGGTTTCTTGAATGATAAACAAGTACTAGCTGTGTTATTTTCAAATGTCGTAGCTACTACTATAAGTATTTTGTTGCTGAGTTACTGAAAACAAATGATATTTAAAACGAAATCAAACCAAAATTCAAATTCGCACAACCTCTACACTCGCCTCACTGACAACAACTGTTCATAGACAAGTGAGACTTATATCACAAAACCTTATCTTTTTGAAGTATACCATACCATAGACGAATTTTAGAAATAGCAACAACGAATTGCCTCTATTGTGATTTAGAATGAAGAAACTGGAAATTTATTATTGCTATTTAATTTCTTTTTGTTTAATTAGCTTCCATTTTCTTCTATCAAATTAAAGCATTTTAATTTCATCTTTAAAATTTATTATGGCAACCTAAACAATAGATAATCAGGGATCTTTAATATAATTGGTCAAAATGTTATAGTTTTTCTCATCGTGACTTGCTATTGGGTACTATTTAGTTTCTCTATGGACAATGACTACACATTGATGAGGTTTGAAATTTTGATGTTATATATTGTCTGTGATAAATAGTCCGGCTGTCAAACATAGTTTCCCCATTTGTACTGCTCAAAGAATACATTTTAACTTATAAATAATGGCTCGAGAAAGTAGCGCAGGATTCGACAGACATATTACTATCTTTTCCCCGGAGGGAAGGCTATATCAAGTCGGTAAGTTGTTTGTTCCTATTCACCAGTTTGCCGCTAGACTAGCTGTAACCCTCAGCCTATTTGGTATGAAAGAAACCTCTATTAACTTTAAAAGCATTCTTATTTGATCAAGTAAATCTTGAATCATACCTGTTGTGTAGTTATGCAAAAAAATAATTCTAGCGACTATTTGTTTTATATGTATGTTACTAAAAAGCGTCTAGTCATGTATGTATGTAATACCTTTCCTCGACTTGTTTTAATATCCCACTTACAATACAGCATAATGTACTGTGGATGTAGGACCATAATAAATACTCTGCAACTAATTTTCAATACTTTGTTCCAGAGTATGCCCTTAAAGCCATAAATCAAGGTGGTCTTACATCGGTGGCTCTTCGTGGTGCCGACGCTGCAGTGGTGGCGGCGCAGCGCAAGGTGCCCGATCGCCTACTGGACCCTACATCTGTCACACATCTGTTCCCGCTCACCAACCGTGTGGGATGTGTTATGACGGGAATGATTGGTGTGTACAATGTTCTATTATGTACTGAAGATGGATTTCATAGACTAATAGGCTTATGTTCAGTGTTGGATGACATAGTAACAATGTCTTGTCTGTAGAATACAGCTAAAGAAGTAACAACTACAAGTCATAATGAGTGTATGACGAAATAAATGTTTACACTAGTTAATTACCAGGCAGAACCATTAGAATAATACTTTACATGTGTTTTCATTATTTATATAAAATAAAAAATTCTCCTGTCGCGGTGTTGTAACTTTTCCGGTAGTAACTTCTCCGGGTAGGTCTGAGAATCGGCCAACATCTATTTTTTGTCAAAACAATGTTTGCCGGGTCAGCTAGTTTGTATATTATAGGTGTTTTAAATGTAAAGTGTAGTTCTTTATTGTATTTGATGCCTTTTAAATTTATCCTTCTTGGAAGAAAATCCTTGTGGAATTATATCTGTCTTTACAAGATTTGTTTTTTTTAACATAAAGCCAATTGCCTATCTATTTATTCTGTTACTTTAATTTTTGACTGATCAATTATCATGCATAATATGGTTATCTTCTAGTAATCAAAGACTAAAATGGCATGCAACTGAACTGGCTAAATCTAAAAATTCTGCAAATGTAAAATAAAACTAATCTTTGAAAATGTACTTTAAGATGGTTGACAAACATCATCTTATCATTTTCAGCTGACAGTAAATCTCAAGTACAGCGCGCACGCTATGAAGCTGCCAATTGGCAGTACAAGTATGGAACGGAGATCCCTGTGCACATTCTGTGTCGTCGCATTGCTGATATATCACAGGTGTACACACAGAATGCAGAAATGCGACCACTCGGTTGCTGTAAGTACTTAACTTAGCATTACTATTATAATAAACCTCGTGAAATGCTTGAGACCTTGAAACATACTCCCATTTCAATAACATGCTACAGCATACCTTCATAGTAGATGTTATTGTTAAAGCCTTAATTTTTTATTTTTATTAAAAAGACAACTCCCACATTAAGCATATACCCTGTAAGCGGCGTGGCCCCTTAAACCACTACGCCATCCGTGCAGTCAGTTAATTCATGTGTGTAGTGTCAACATCAACAGCATTTAATGATCCACTGATGGACATAGGTCTCTCCTTAAGAGGAGGTTTTGGCCTTCTATATCACACTGGCCAGACGGGTTGGTATAGTGTTTGTGTCAACTTTCCTTTCCTTTGCAGCGCTGTTGTACTACATAGCTTGCTCCCTTAGTCAGTTCTTACGACAGCCACAGGGATGGTGGGTGTGTTTTGTAGTTATGCCTAATCTTGATTACTGCATAATTTAGATTTTAATATGTCCTACCTCGATTTTTTGAACATGGAAATAAACATAGAATTGTTCTTTGAGAATGAATAATCCTTTATAATAATTGTTAGAATGCATTGTAAGAATACCTTAGTTCATTAAAACAGATGCAGCCTTAGATTTGAACTAAAATTAAATATGGTTCTTGAATGAAATAACGTTTTTATCTTTTTAATGCCAGGTATGATGCTCATAGCATATGATGACGAAACGGGACCCTGTGTGTACAAGACGGACCCGTCCGGTTACTACTGCTCATACAAAGCAGTGTCGGCCGGCGCAAAAGCCACTGACGCGAACGCCTACTTGGAGAAGAAGTTAAAGAAACGCACTGATCTATCGGCCGATGAAGTGGTGCAGCTCGCCATTTCCTGCCTCTCACAAGTGCTATCTGTTGACTTCAAATCTTCAGAGATTGAAGTTGGATTGGTCACCAAGGACAATCCCAAGTTCCAGTGAGTAAATCTCTACAGTATTTTTTTACAGTAAAATAATATCAAAAGATTTTAAGTTATTTTTGAAAAGTAATATTAAATTCATAAATGTATGAAGTATTTATATACGGAGTTAATGTATAATTTAATATGCAGTAACACCGACAGCCACCAGCTATTACTGAACCCAGCCTTTATATCGATCCTATGTTTGTCTGGCAGAGATCACTTTTAGCTACAAGACAACTCATTGATCATCATCATCAACAGACTTTAATAGTCCACTGCTGTACATAGGCCTCTCCTTAGAAAGGAGGTTTTGGCCTACTATGCCACGCTGGCCAGATGGGTTGGTATAGGGTTTGTTTCAAGTTTTCCTTCTCTTAGCATTGCTGTTCTCCTGCATAGTTTGCTCCCTTAGTCGCCTCTTACGACACCCATGGGATGAATAGCGGTGGTGACACTCTGTATTCTTAGCCCTTCACCACACGGACAGCTCATTGCAATGATATTAATATTGCTATTTACATTAAAATCCATATATGTGGTGTACATACAATGAAGAATTTTATTCTATATGATGTATTTTCCAGAGTGTTGGCTGAGAACGAGATCGATCGACATCTAACCGCCATTGCTGAGAAGGATTAGGGATTCGTGGAATCAAACATTACATTAATTTTTTAACAAAAATAAATTTTCTTATATGGAATTAACTTTGTTTTGTATTTACTATGTTAGCTCCTAGCTTAGATAATTAAGTAAAATATTCATGTCCTAAAAAAACAGTTCTGTGAGCATACCTTCAATACCCGCCGGCACGTTCACAGTTCGGGGCATTTCAGTCACTACATTAGTGAAATTCTGTAGAGTACAGCAAAAGACTAGCCCGTTGACCGGGACCTCATAGTTGCGGTGTCTCCTCAGCTCGTGCAGCCACGGCACTTTGCCACAGGCACTCTCACAGAACACGGTCTCTCTGATCTCGCTGACGGCCACAAACGGATCGTTGAGAACGACGATAGCCACGGCTTTGTTCGCCGCTTTCGCGTGCACCACGCTCCAGATATACTTGGGCACCGGGAACCTCTTGCCGGCTTTCAAATACACTTCGGTGCGAGCGTGTCCCGAGCGCAGCGACAATACTCCGTGAGTGCCCGCGTACACTTCGATCTCTGCGTGGGGACGGGTCAACTTTAGGAACTTTGCGACGTCGTGGTGCAAGTGACGCAGGTTTCCCTCGGCTACGCTCTTCCACACGGCGACGCGATCGGAGACAAAGTCTGCCGCCCTCATGTTTTGATCCTCGAAGTAGTGAGCGCTCAACAGCTCGGCGGAGGTCAGCGATTGACCGGCGAAAGAGAATCGGTCGTGTTTGAACAGCTCGTGCACTCTCCTGTTCAACTTGACGTCGTCGGAGTAGAGTCTCTCGGCGTCGTGTCTCGTTTTGGCGTCGAACATGTGGTTGAAGTTGCCGAGGATGCTGAGCGGCGCGCCGCGCTCGTTGTGCGGCGGCAGCGCCAGGCGGTTGTGCGCCGCGTTGCTCATGCGCAGCCACTGCGCCGCGCCCGTGTCCTCGTCGAAGCACAGCACGGCCAAGTGGCGCACCCCGCGCCCGCTCTGTTCGTGCATCTGATACGCTCGCCCCTGAAGAGGCGGCGCACAGCTATCCACCTACAAAAAATAGACCTTCAAAGACGAGACCGCTCAAGGAATTATCCCTAACGGTCTCCCGACAAATTATCTACCGTACCGAACGCTTCGGACAGTGCTTCTCTCGTATCTGTAAAAACGAGCAGCGTAAAACGGTCCCACGGAGCAAAAACTTCTACGAACCTGATGCAAAACGTCCTCGAAGATGCTCTCCTGGCAGCCGAGGTCGAGCAGGTGGCGCAGCTCGCGGTCGCGCCGAACCCTGTAGCGGCCCGCCTCGCACACGGCCACGAGCGTGTCGAGCAGCGGGTAGGCGAGGAACTTGCCGCCGCCGCACGCGAGCGTCACCTCGTCGCCCGCCTCCGCGCGCACAGAGCCGTTGGCGGCGCGGTGTGACGTCACCAGCGGCATGTTGTCCGGCACGCACTCCGCGCACTGCAGCTCCATCACACATGGCGCTGTGCATCAGAGTACACGACACTTCACCATAACTAACATTTTGTAATGCCTTAGTTTCTTGTAAATTGAAATGAGTACATAGGCTGACTTTGGCGTAATAGTATGCGTCCCATGTTAAGACGCATATTGTATTAAGACTGATAAAAGGGACTGACAAAACATTGACAATAAATTTTAACAACCATCGTCATGTTTTTTTTTCTTATAATATAGTTATTAATACTAACCAATTTGAAATCATTTTTTGTATCTTCATTGCGTTAACATTACTTAAAGGAAGTTATTTCGACACGCCACCAATTATGAACCGTTATACAAACAAAACTGACGTCTCGGAAAGATCAAACAATAATACTTACGATCAGTGAAATAGGCTTGTTTGAGACAGAGCAGTAACGTGACAGCGGCAATTGGCCTCATGTTGTTGTGTTGGTGGGATGTGCGCGACTGAGCGTTATCGGCGGCCGCTGTGCTCTCGACACGCTGACGCAGACCTTGTTCACCCCAGCAGATAACGGTCGCAGGGTCCGCTCCACTATGTTTATTGTCATTCTCACAATGATGTATACAGGGACACTAGACACTAACCAACAAGCATTCATTAGAAGTGACCAGTGTGAATCGAATGGTGACATTGGATTATCTGATCCGATTTGCTTAATTTGTTGTAAATGATAGGTACCTATTACGGCAACGTCTTCCTTCAAAATATTGTAAATCACCTCGCATTCACCCTTACATAGGTATCGTATCGTTCAGCATCGTGACGAGATAAAGGAACAGGTAACACACTTGTCATGGACAAGGTTTACGTACTCAACCGTAATTTCCTCCTTTCGCTCTCTTGTCTCCTGTTCAGTTCACGGTTTGCTTTGGTCTAAGATCACTCCCTGAGTTGTGTTGAACGGATATTATGTGATCTAATAATATTACAGCACAGACTACTGATTGGGGTTGTACTGTAGAAATATAAATATAAGCACAGAGTGAACAAAACCAATCTAGCAATAAAGGCTACGGGAGAGATAGTTCCACTAACTGGCAGCTGTACCCTGTGTACTCTCTATGGTAATAGATAGATATTATATAAGTACCTACATATTATACTTATATATATAGAGAAGGAAAACTTGACACAAACCCTATACCAACCCGTCTGGCCAGCGTGGTATAGTAGGCTAAAACCTCCTTTCTAAGGAGAGGCCTAAGTCCAGCAGCGGACTGTTAAGGGCTGTTGATGTGATACTTATATTTTTACGTTAAATTATACTTAACGTTAATTTATGCTTATACACATAATTAAAATAATAACGTTAGTTTGTGGCGACCCTGACTGCTAAGCCATAGGTCGTGGGTTCGACTCACATCCAGGACAAGTGATTGTGTAATGAGGACGATCATTTCTTGTGTGTGAGTGTAATTTATCTACAATATGTAAGTATTTAGAAATATATAAGTAGGAATGATTATTTAGGCAATAGGTTTGTGGAACTAAAAAGTTTAAGTGGACCTAAAAATTATAGGCGGCAAAATGTGAGCGTCCAGTCTTCGTACTCGGGGACTCAAGCGGCACTGGTGAGTTCGTGAGGATTGTTGATGAGCGAAATAAAACTCCGTATGTTTTCATAAGTAATTTAATATGAACATAATATACAATGCTGATGTTTATTTATAAAAGCAGGTAAAAACCGACGAGACACATACACCGTACGATAAAATAGTATTTTATTTATTTCAACGTACATAACTATAGAGTATAATTACTTAAATAATTAACTATAACCCCGCAGCAGTTGTGCTGCGCAGCCCTTCACTGCGAGCAGGACTGCGTCGAGGGGCCTCTTCCCCCGAAGATCTAACTAGTACGATAATGATCTATGTCGACGCAGTCTGGTGTAGCTACAGCTCTAATAAATGCGTAACATCGAGTTGCGCGTGCGCACTTCGTGTATTGCTCAGATTGTGTCCACTACCGTAAAAATAATATAATTAATAAGCTTAATGCCACTCGAGTAACGGGATAACCTCTACAGCAAGAATTAAGTAATCATGCAATAAATATATATCAGTGAGAGTAACGCCGCAGTAACACATTACACGAACAAATGAACTGTCTAAATTCATAGAAAGTATACGTTCACCGAACGAGTATTTCAGCGACGTGTGTGCAGGACACGCTGGTCGCTTTATCTCTTATATAAAATAAAATACATTACAGTTGTGTAACAATCAGCGCAAGTGTAACACAACATACCACGGTCGGCGCACAGACGCACAGACCAATTATAAACACTAATATAATCATTAATTAATCTCGAAAAATACAGGCGATATGTGTATTGCACAGACAAATTGCAAAGAGGATCGTGTACGCAGCATTACGTACATAAGTAGTTCAATAGAAAGCTGACTTGTGTAAATATGTGCGTGGCGTAAATAAATATAAATCTACTGTTCAATGCGACGGTGTAAAATGTTCACTTTCGTTCGTTGAAAGACACACCGAGTGACATCGACATTAAGTTACAACAAATCTCAGGAAAATCAATGAACCGATAACGCAATAACTATTTGAGACCATAGTTCAATGTTTAATTTATAAAATAGGTCACCGGTGCACAGGTTCGGTCCCTGCTCATTGCAAAGCGATAATTGCACCCAGATTATTATGCGACTAGACATTCCACGGATACGGAACTCGTCACTTCACTCGAGCCCTAGCGTAGACCTACGAGTACTTCTAAACATGAGATTTGATGAGCTGACGATGATGGATGTTATGTAAAGTAACTTCACCCTTATGGAGAAATACATAAAAACGAGAGTCGTAAACTTCAGTTCACGGCTCATTTTTTATGGTTTTCTCCGTGTTCGTATCGCGACGAGACCGAGCGGCTCTTCGTCGAGAATGAGTCGCCGGCGGACGCTCCGCGACCTCACCGCCCTCGACCGACCGCGGGGCCGTCTCACGCCTCGCGTCCTATCTTTCTACTAAACTATCGGTATTCAGAACGCGTAGATACAATGAACGGACCGGGGCTTTTAGTTAGCGAATCGTGTGGTTTAGCCCGCCTAGGTGTCGTGGAGTCGCTAACTAAAGGGCGAGGGGGGCGGGGTGGGGGGAGGTGGGGGGCGCGGCGCTTACGTGCAGCAGGCGCGCGTGGGCGGCGCGCGCGAGGGCCGGCGCTCCACGGCGATGCGCGCGTGGTCCGCGTCCGCCTCGCGCCCCGACGTCTTGTCCAGGATGGCCTCGGCCAGCTCCGAGAAGGCGCGGTCGATGTTGATGTTCGCCTTCGCCGACGTCTCCATGAAGCGGATGCAGTGCTCCCGCGCTATCTGCACATACCGACACGGAACGATATTTTTAATGTCATTCTATTTCAATTATGTAAATATGTTGATACGAAAATGTCAGTCTTGACTTCTGGCTCTGGACGAAATTATTTTTTAATAAAAATAGGTGGGTTAGCTATTTTTTTATATTTATAGATATTCTACCTGTTTACGAGTGAATTTTAACTAATGCTGTAGTACATTTACGTATAACAGTTTTTTACAGGTAAAAGTATTTCTTGACGGTTTAACGATCTTGATTATAACGTGTTTAGAGGCTGTCGGTGTTCGATGTATCTGTCGATACCGTAGGTTATTCAGTCGTTAATAACAACGTGTGAAAGAGACACGTTAAAGTTGACCATCCTGATAACTTTTCGTTAATTCATATACGATATGAGGAAATGCCAAATATGAAATTAGGGTGAACAAAAATAGTTTCATTTATCTGCGAGTGAGTCACCGCTTCGCCGCGGCAAATGACTTTGCATTCGTTCGGTGTTCCACGACGCTAATTAATGTTCATTATCACAAACATTAACACAAATAATGTTATTTTCGACAAATAACCAAACTATTCATAGACCAATTTTGCGCATACATTACTGATGCGATATATAAACTAGACTGTGAAGTAATTCCATTATAGTGACAAGCCAATGGCTGTGTTGCATTCACAAGGTCTATTGTATTTCTCAATTGATTAATAAAAGTTGCAAGGTTGTGCTCAAACAATATATAAAAATAACACAATTTAAATACCTACAGTTAATTTAACCAAGATAACCAAACAAGAAGCAACATTTGTATAAACCATACAGCCAGTTCTCCTCCTAACTACGATTACTACCTCCAACTGTAAGGAACTGGAACATGTGTTGCTACACTTAACAGTGCCCCATAAAGTACATTTTAAGTACTACCTACATTGCAGTTGCTGACCAAAGGAACTACACACTTGTTAGAATACCATGTTTAACAGAGACACCAGTCCAAGCATTGACCTAACTACCTACCTACCAACTTAGAAAGATGTATATTTAAACCCATATGGCTAACAAATGTGCTATTGTTCCTTAAAGCAAAAAAACTTGGCAAGTATAATATGAAGATACATATTAAGCATCTTGTATATAAACATTCATCAAAAGGAAAATAATAAATTTATACTAAAACAATGTGTGAACAACAAATTGTGTTATCTCTCACTCTTTACAGTAAGGGTCAAAGGTTGCCGACAGGAATGTTATAAACCTCCTAAAATAGATATTACACCACCACACTACATATGTGAATAAACAACAAGATATCTTACTGCTTCTCCGCGCTCCTTGCTCACAACGCGCTTGTCCTCCATATCACACTTGTTGCCTAAGATCATTTTCTCCACATCTTCATTTGCATGCTGTAATTATTAACACTTTATTTTACACTATAATATAATTAAATGGTTTATGGAGAAACAGCTGGTTTCATATTGTTTTTTTATTAAAATAACTTTTTATATTACCTACATTACAAATTGTTCACTTTAACATGAGTGTTAAAATTTCAATCATTTACTTTTAACCATATTTTTACTATAGAAATCTCTAAAAACTAATTGATAAAAATATTAAATCTTATTAGCATCAGATCATGTTACATACTGAAGTATCAATTACACAACTAAGAGCGGGTCATTGCAGGGTTGAATAGTAAAAAAGAGAAGAAAATGGGAGTTTGAATATAAATGTGGGTTCGTCACTTGGATTAAGTAATGGTTTGACTATGTAATGAGAAAAATATGTAGATAAATTGTGTACAGTGCATATAAAGATACTGAGTACTTGTAATGATGTACATACACACACATTGTTACTTTGGAATGACTGCACCAACAATTAAACAAAATAATAACTATATGAAAAAAGGCAAAACCTGAGATATTTTTGTTAGAACTATTGTACTATTTAGTTTTAAAATTATGAACTCAATTACATATATTTATGTTTGTAAAATAATCTGATCTTGTAATAAGTATGACATAATTCATTAATCATAATCAAAGTTTTTCTGACTAGCTGGACTTAACCAGATAACATCTTTACCTATGATATTCATATATATATTCATTCATTCATTTTTAAACCCCAACATATTATAAACCTGAAGAGTTTTTTAGTTTGTTTAACCATACTAATACCACACTAAAACTGTAGGACACATTTGAAGAATTCTTTTTGTATTAATTAATTAAATTATTTATTTGTTTAAAACTGCAGTAGGAATATATACTGTCATGGGGGACTTTACATACATGCATGTTACAGACACAAAGACCACCCAGACTCAGAAAAACAATTTGAATCACACAAAGTGTTGGCCCATGTGGGAATCAAACGCCCAACACTAAGCGCAGTTTGAAGAGGTGAGGTAACTTTATTGTACTGAGTTCTGTTTTATACACCTCGACCAGAACCATCAAGACAGCAGGCAACCTGCAGGTAACAGCTCATATACTATAATATATATATTTATGTTACTATGCAAAGAATGCATGCTCAGTAATATGATGTTCTAAGAAAAACTATTCTTTTATAATTATTTCTAACAGAGACCAATAACAATTGTAGAAACAGAAAGTGGCACTGAAAACAGGAGAAAATATCCAGAATGAAATATAGTTTTAGTTAGAATGAGTAACAGGAAGTTGATGCATTATCAATAGAGCATGGGCACTCTACTACCTATGGTGTGAATGAGTAATGTATATCGTAAATATTGGTCTAGGCAGGGAAAGGTTTAACAGTTACACTTACTTCGTCTATATTTCGTAACCATTTGACGATATCATCAAATGTTTTCTCATTAGTTATGTCGTATACCAGCATAATGCCCATAGCGCCACGATAGTACGATGTGGTTATCGTGTGGAATCTCTCCTGCCCGGCTGTGTCCCAGATCTGTAGTTTGATTTTTTTACCTCGTAGCTCCACAGTTTTTATTTTAAAGTCGATACCTACAAGCCACAGAAACACATACATGATTTCAAAAGAAATGGCGAATAAACGGCTGAAACTTTATGCCACTCATACACACACTGCAATGTATTAAAATACAAAGATGAATTGCTTTGTTCAAAGCGAGATTTGCTTGGATGGTACAAAATCACAAATATACAAAGGTGGTTCATACCGATAGTAGATATAAACGTAGTTGTGAAATGGTTATCTGAAAACCTAAACAATATACAAGTCTTCCCTACACCGGAGTCACCGATGAGAAGTAGTTTAAACAGTAAATCGTAGGTCTTCTTAGCCATTTTAATAAATTTTACGTTTCAGAAAAGCAATAACTACAAAATCCCAAAATCATCCGACCCAGAGATTGACAGTTAGGTCTAAAATTGCAGTTTGAAAAAAAGTGATGTCATTTGGAATTAATACATGTGGTAATAATTTCCAAGTCGACTAATCAGACTAATCAGATTCTGAATGGGCTAATAATTGGGATTGATTTATCACGTCTTTTCAGTAGTTGTAATTAATAAACAAAGCAGCTAATGTTTGTTACATCTCCTTGCCGCCTACACCAGAATCACTGATCAATTGATTATAAACATTTACACAACATAGAATGTTCCACGGATTTAGTTGATTCGGTGCTTCGTTCCGTTGCTCCGATCATCTCACAACCGCCTTGCGAAATGGTGCAATGTGCAGTAAAGCTGACCTTAATTATAAGATTTATTAAACATACACTTCTGTACAAGCATCCACCGAGTCGTCAAGGATAAGTTTCATTGTTATTATTTTAAGTCATTAAACTTAGAATTTAAATCTTTTCGGTTTTATTTAAGTTCTTTCCGCTGCAGTGATGCCAACTCTTGGGTTTTCTCCCCAAGTTTAGGGGGTACAAAGTAAAGGGAGTTTTTAGGAGGGTAAATTTGCTAGGGGTATTCTTGGGAAAAAAATCGGTTGTCTGTAAAGTTTGTTTACTGACGATAGTTGAACGTGACAACGTCATAAGAAAATACTGATGGAATGGTTGCATTTTTCAAAAATGTATTATTGTATACGAGTAGTAGCTGTCCACGCGGACGCATCGCTCACTCAAGTTCCTACTTGAGAGAGACAGATGTCGAACGCTGCCGAACGCGGAGGCCGATTGTGCCTCTTTGTCACTCGTTCCGCGCTCTCGCTTGCACTTCACTCCTTAAATGGAACGCCTCAGAGCGAGGTAACGCCTCATGAGTCATGTTTTTTCGTGCGTGCAGCCGGCTCCATCGAATTATAAGACGTTGTCACGTGAAAAAATATTTTGCATTTTTAAATAAATTTAAATTAAGAATACAGATAGTCACCACAGTTATTCATCCCAGTGGTGAGATCCAGCAGAGAGAGGCTTATGTCCAGCAGGGGACTATTAAAGGCTATATTTTACAGTATTATCTAAGTAAATCAACAAAACTAAAAAATAATGGTCAGATTTAATGATTCCAGTTTTAGTAGATGGCGCTGTGTATATTTTAGTGCAATGAATAAATAGTAAAAATACGTAGTCCGTCGTCTTAGGGGACTTTTGGTGAGAATTTAGTGGTTTTTAAAATTGCTTTAGGGACGCTGGCAATTCTAGAATATATAGATAATAGAAATATATACAGATAAGTAAACAACATACATTTAATTTTGCTATTTTTGGGTTTTGTTGAGATACCTATGAAACCAATAAATTTCGACTAGTATTTCTAAAAGTAGTTGCAGTGCCAGTCGGTAAAAGATATAACATGAGAGGTTTACAACATGAGAGGCTGTAAAGCGAGATTCTAGAACTAGGGGTATCCGATCACACTGCACAATTAATTAAATTTCCAATACAACAAACTTGTATTTTGAAGTTTTGGTACACACACAAACGCGATTACTGCAAGGAAAATAAGAATATATTTAGGAGATGTCTTAAAAATCTAAGTTTTTCTGAGGTCTATGAATGTAATACGGCTAATGAACGTTTTGATGCTTTTTTCGATTTATTTAAATTTTTTTACGACCTATGCTTCCCCATACTAAAGCGCAAAATATCCACACTTGTTAGACCGAGATGGATAACCCGAGGTATTATATTGTGTAGTAAAAGAAGGCGAGACTTGCTTTGGAAACATAGACTAGCGAAAACTAGCGACACGAAACTAGCTTTTAAAACATATAATAAAAGATATAAAACTATATTAAAGCTGACTCAGAAGGCAAGAAATAGTTATTTCATTGCTAATAGTAAAAATAAATCCAAAGCTACGTGGAAAATAATAAATTCAATCAAAACAAATGTACCTAGGGATAGTATCAAGAAATTATTAATTAATGGTAAAGTGGTTACTCATCCAAAATCGATTGCAGAAAAATTTAATAATTATTATATAGACCAGGTAGATACCAATATAAATCTAAAGACATGTAATTATAAAAATATTTCCAATTTTAAATCATTTAAATCTATGTTTATGAAACCGATTGTACCTAATGACGTTAATACTATAATAAAGAATTTAAAAAACACCGGCAGTACAGGCTATGATGAAATCCACACAAGCGTAGTAAAATCTGTAGGTACTATTATAGCACCTGTATTAACTGACATCCTAAATGATTGTATTCAAAGCGGAACTTTTCCGGACAAGCTAAAGACATCAATAGTAAAACCTCTGTTTAAAAAGGGCTCAAGAACTGAAATGGGTAATTACCGACCTGTAGCACTGTTACCAGTATTTTCTAAAATTTTTGAGAAAATCATTTACAGCAACTTGAATAACTATCTGGAAAATAATAACATTATATGTAAGGAACAGATGGGCTTTAGAAAAAATAAAACAATTAATATGGCTATATATGGATTTCTAAAGAACATATATATTAATTTAGATAACCGTAAACCAGTAATGTCATTGTATATGGATATGACAAAAGCGTTTGATCACGTGGATCATAACATATTAATTAAAAAAATGTATAATTACGGGATTAGAGGCAATGTCCTTGTCTTGATACAATCATTTTTAGAAGATAGAAATCAAATAACACAGATAAATTCAGTCAATTTCAAATCTAAAACTGAGGTAGCTTATTCATCAAATGCTAGAAAAATTAAATACGGCGTGCCACAGGGAAGTGTTTTGGGCCCATTACTTTTTCTCTGTTACATAAATGATTTTCCTAACACTACGAAACATCAAATGTCTTTATTTGCCGATGATAGTACAGTTATTTTTAATAAGGGTACATTGAATGAAATAGAATACGATATAAATACTAGTATTGTAGACATTATAAATTTCTTAAATGCTAATAATCTAAAAATCAATCTGTCGAAAACAAAATTTATGAATTTTCAAATAAGACGAAAATGGACATCAGAAGTACACATCTCATATAAAGATGAAATCGTAGAAGAAAGTACAGTAACAAAATTTTTAGGGCTTCAAATTGATAATGACATGTCATGGAAAACTCAAATTAATTGTGTGTGTAATAAATTAAATACATTTTCCTATGCTTTATATATGCTATCAAAAGTAGCTAATGAAAATGCACTTCTTGCCGCTTATCACGGCTATGTGTCATCGACCTTAAGGTTCGGCATAATATTCTGGGGTAATGCCACAAATAAGCAAGACGTGTTTATAGCTCAAAAGAAATGTCTCCGAGCTATGTGTAAACTAAAAAGCACTGATACATGTAAGCCACACTTTTGTAAACTAAGACTATTGACATTTCCATCTATGTACATTTATGAAGTCTGCATGTTCGTGAGAAATAACATTTCTCTATTTTCTTTTATAGAAAGTCAACGTCGCTCCGACAAATTGCACTTATTAAAAGCCAAAACAGCACTTCTACATAAAAGTGTATACGCAATGGCACCAAAGCTGTACAATCATTTACCAAAACAAATAAGAGACCGTAAAAATGTTAATGAATTTAAAAGCAATCTCTTAAAATTACTTATTGACAAAGCATACTACTCCATAATAGATTTTCTGAATGATAAATTTTGATTTCAATTAGTTATGTATATGATTAGGTATTTGTAAATGACATTTATTTTGACGTTGTAATTATTAATTGTTTTAAAAAATTTAATTTATTTTGACATTTTATTTAGTATTTTGAACTTTTAATTATTTTGACATTTTCGATTATTCATTATTTTGACATATTTAGTTCGACTTTTTTGATTGTTAATTATTTGACCTATTGAGTTTGTCATTTTTAATTATTTTAACATTTTTCCCGATTTAATCATCATTTATCAATATCAGTATGTTTTTAATTAAGAAATCAAATCAACGTCTATTTTTATTGAATTGAATAAGTATATGATTACTGGACTTTAAACAGTTGTATTGCACAGGAATAATGAAATCATTTTATTGTTTTGTATGCCTATTGGCGAAACATGGCGATCTTTTAAATATGGTTTGTAACATCTGAATTTACCTGTGTTTTACGAAATAAATGATTGATTGATTGATTGATTGATTGATAACACAACATACCAAAGTTCTTAGATAAACATCACAGAACACTCTATACTCTATAGGTACCTAAGGGAAGATTTTAATTATTATTATATGCAGGTATATATGTTCTGTGATTATATGAATGGTAACACCGCAACTTAAAAATGCGAAATGGCTGCCGGCGCGCGTCGATAATCAATATTTCTTGTGGCGTTCCCTTTCACGTTTACTGTTTTGTCTGTCTAATACTAACAGAAAATCAATAAGGTGTTGAGTGAAATATTGGTATCTTTCCTTTGATAAAAAATATCTTTTAGTTATGTGAGTGGTGTATTCTAATGTGAATCAATACGTTTATTTGTCAACAAAATGCATCGCCGTGGCGGGAAACGTATCAGGATGGATGATCCTCCTCCTGAATACGTAAATCCTATGACTCCTGCAACTCCGATGACAGATTACGGTGGACAATCTGTACATGAACCCGACACTTCTAATTTGAACTACTCGGGATTTAACATTGGTGCCGCAGTTAATTCAACTGCTGCAGAACCTTTGAGGGAAGAAGCTGAAGACTCTCATCACGAGGAAGAAGAGCCAAGATCGCCATCGCCGACGCCAACTAAACGTGTAACTCGTAGTCGTGGTCGCAGAGGGGATGGTGGATTTGTAGGTCGTCTAGCAGAGTCACCGCCACCACCGCCGCTACGCAGGCGCGGACGAGGTGGTCGTGGTCGTGGTCGGGGCCGAGGCGCCGCACCACCTCCGGCCTACTCTCCTCCTCCAGTATTATTGCCTGGTGATGATGAAAATAGTTTATACAATATACTTAGATTTAACAAGACTGCTATTAATGTAAGTATCGAAATCAAACTTATTTGTTACTAATTAAAATACCACCCTGTGTCTAAAACTTAATTTAATATGCAGCAAGTAGTGGACCTGTGGATAGAAGAATATAAGACCAACCGTGAGGCAGCACTAGTTCAATTGATGCAATTCTTCATTAATGCGTCAGGATGTCGCGGAAAGGTCACCCCTGACATGGCACAGATGGATCATACATTAATTATTAAAAAAATGACACAGGAGTTTGATGAGGTAAGCTGTCAGTCTGTAGTTGAACTGTAATAGACAGCTTTCTAAACTATACATTGCATCATACATGATAAATCTAGATACATCGAGTTGAGACAATCATTTAAATTTCTTCTTCAGGAAAGTGGAGAATACCCATTGATTATGACAGGGCAGTCCTGGAAGAAGTTTCGGTCGAATTTTTGTGAGTTTATTCAGACTCTTGTCAAGATGTGCCAGTATTCCATTATCTATGATCAATATCTCATGGACAACATAATCTCCCTGCTCACTGGATTGTCTGACTCACAAGTCAGGGCATTTAGGCATACTGCTACACTAGCAGGTAAGAGGCTATCATCTGTTAGTGTAAAACAACACAATGTGGATATTTGTAGTTATTTCTTGGCATAAGCCAGCCCTTTAGCATTAAAAGAAACCTGCCCAAAGTAAATAGAGATATCTATCATAAAAAAAAATTCGAGTCTTGTTTTTTTTATGTTACTACATTCAAATTAAAAAAAAACTACTACACACTATTTGAAACACAAATGTAAACTTCCTTTAAAAAAATTTATTACAAATTCTATATTTAACGAATATTTAGAAAGTGGTTTCTCTAAGACAGTTTTGTACAACAACTTTTCAACAAGTGTTCACTAAAGTGGTTTTCTATCTGTGACAGTGATGAAGCTGATGACAGCTTTGGTAGATGTGGCGCTTCTGACCAGTGTAAACTGTGATAACTGCTTGCGTCAGTACGAAGCAGAGAGGTTGAAGGCAAGAGATAAACGGGCTAATGAACGACTAGAAGTGCTGGTTGCCAAGAGGCAGGAGCTTGAAGAGAATATGGAGGAGATTAAGAATATGCTCTCTTATATGTTCAAGTCAGTCTTTGTGCACAGATATAGGTAAGTCTTGTTTTTTCATTTTTTTTAATGATTTAAAGAATTTGTTATTATAGCAGTCTGTAAATATTTTCCAAAAATAAATTAATATGTACAAATTTTCTTGAAAATGATATTGGCAAGATTCTTTCTTATAGTCTGGTTATAAAGTTAGATATACTATAGGAAATATTGAAAGGACTTTTGTAATAATAAAAAATTAAAAAATAATTTTTATATGTGTGTTGGGTGTGTTTAAAAGAAATTAACTAAAATTGAAAAGAATTGGTGGCATCAAATAGAAACAAAATAACAAAATAAAAGTCTCGGGCGCCAGATACCACCTTAAAAGAACACAGAACCCACCACAAACACAACAAATACCTCGGACATCTCAGCCAGCGTTGAACCTTTTTAAAACAAAGCGGGAGGACAGCTAATGAATACAAGATGTTAGGTTCTATTGGCAGTTTATTATCCCGTAGTGTCTGTAGAGTACAATGTGTCTTATGTCTCTAATTACATTAGGTAATTCTTATACACAAATTAGTACTGTCATTAATGCAATCCTTTCCAATAAGAAAAATATAAGGTTAAATAAATTTTAAAGAGTCACATAAAGACTAAATAGACAAAACAGTAAACTCTAAAGGTAGACATAGCATTGACCTACTCTCTAATGAAAAATAACACCGCTTGTGGACCTGCAGTGCTCAATGCCACGTCGCCAAGAAAAATATAACAAAAACACATACCGCAAAACAATGACCTTGGACCAGTCCGAATGACATGAAATCAAACCAACTCCGAAACTTCTCACTCCGGATCCCACGTGGTGGAAGAGGCGGGTCAGCACTCCCAGGCTCCAGACTATGGCGTACAGCTAAGCAGCTTTTCCTACCATTCTGGCGCTCCACAGCAAACTAGTTACTTGGGGTTAAACTCTGGCGAGAGACAAAAAATCGAATGCCACGCAAGGACATTCCAATAAGAAAGTAAATAAATTTAGGTATTGTAAAGACTTTAGATATAAGCCAGAAAAAAGAAAAGAACCCTGATTCATCAGGGTTCTAAAATGCTTCACAAATCAAGCAGCGGCATTATAAGCATTATAAGCATTGCCTTTCTTATCAAAAATAATCACTCGATCCACTAGCTCGAGTCTTAACTAGGTTGGCCAAACTTTTAAAGAGGAAATAGGCCCTCGTCCATATCAAATAAATACGGATTTCTAAAAAATTAAATGACAAAATTTGTTTTGCGTCATTTCGCTCGGCGGCCGGTCCAAAAGTGAAAGTCAAAGTGATACCAGTGCAATCGCCTCTCGCTCTATAGAGCGGGGACACAAAAATGTTGCCTGTACAAGAAAAATAAATCGACTAACTACTGCGGGCGAACAACATCGATTATTACTCTCGTCCGCCCCTCGACCATCGGCACACGCAGAAACGACAAAAAATTCAACCTAACAAAACAAAAACGAGACCAAGGTTCAAATTACTGTAATGGTGCGAAATGCACCGTTACATTACATACCTTCCCGAAAAAAAAAATAAAAGAAAGGACTCTTTCTTTTATGCTGAAAAGTCACTACTCAACAAAATATATCAAACAAAAAGATTGCAAAATATCTAAACTCCAAAACTGACTCTACCAAACTCCACTAAAACTCTACAAACTCCAGGAATACAAAAATCCATACGCCAAAAAGGACTAGGAAACTAAATATAAGATCAAATATACTCTACAACAAAAACACACAAACCCAAAAACAAATCCCTACACCAAGCTACCATTAGGACTAGAAAGTCCAAAAAGTGCGGTTAGACACCCTCGTCACCGACTCTAATGGAGCTACAAACACAACAAAATAAACTACACAAACTGCTTCCATTGGGAACTGTACATCTAAAAAGAAACCAGTTTCCACGAAGTGCGGTTGGACACCCTCGTCACCGACTCTAATGGAGCTCAGACTACAACGAAATACACTAACAACAACAAAGTAAACTTCACAAACAACAACAAAGTAAACTTCACAAACAACATCCATTAGGAATTGTATCTTAAAAGATGTCAATATCCAAGAAGTGCGGTTGGACACCTTCGTCACCGACTCTAATGGAGTTACGAACTACACAAAACAAAACAACATCCATCAGGAAATGCATATCTCAAAGATACCAATATCCAAGGAGTGCGGTTGGACACCTTCGTCACCGACTCTAATGGAGTTACAAAACGCTTCACCCTAACTTCAAACACATGTCAAACATGTCGAACCAAACAAAATACTCATCCCAACAAGGCGGGGAGAATATATAAAACCTGTGCATTGTGATCGGCTCAACTCCACCGAACTACCGGGCACAATGCAACAGAAACCAAACCAAAATATTCATCACAACAAGGCGGTGAGAATATATAAAAAACCTGTGTATTGTGATCGGCACAACCCCACCGAACTACCGGGCACAATACGACAGTAACCAAACAAAAATATTCATCCCAACAAGGCGGGGAGAATATATAAAAAAACCTGTGCATTGTGATCGGCTCAACCCCACCGAACTACCGGGCACAATGCAACAGAAACCAAACAAAATATTCATCACAACAAGGCGGTGAGAATATACAAAAACCTGTGTATTGTGATCGGCACAACTCCACCGAACTACCGGGCACAATACGACAGAAACCAAACAAAAATATTCAGCACAACAAAACGGTGTGAATATATAAAAAACCTGTGCATTGTGATCGGCACAACACCACCGAACTACCGGGCACAATGCAACAGAAACCAAACAAAAATATTCAACACAACAAGACGGTGTGAATATATAAAAAACCTGTGTATTGTGATCGGCACAACTCCACCGAACTACCGGGCACAATACAACAGAAAGCAAACAAAAATATTCAACGCTTAAAAAACGTGAATCCCACCAACAAACCAATCATCTCCTGAAAAAAGTGTGAAACCGACAAGAAACAAAACATTCAACACCTGAAAAAAGTGTGAATCTAACAAACAACCCGTTCAACCCTTGAAAAGAGGGTGAACCTTACTCCAACAAAACACTCTACACTAGGTAGAAACGCAAATAAAATACAAACAAATTAATATTTTGATGTGGTCTCTATTATGAATGAAGTTCCTGAAATAATAAACCAAAAAGACCTAAGTAAACTTTTGAACTTTTAAACCCTAAAATTAATATATCGGTAAGAATACCGCGCACTACATCAACATACAAATCACCATAGCCTAGCATACATCCAGTTACATACTTCCTCATACAAATGTGAAATCCAACAAATATATCAAAATAAGACCCAAAAGTTAATGACCAAATAGTGAAATTTTAATATTTAATAATATCTCTAATATGATAGCGACCAGAGGTGTTCTTTGAAAGGTCTTGCAAAAGGTAAACATTATCTGAAATCTTCCCTATAATTTTACATTTAATAAACTTAGGTACAAGCTTGCCGAAAAATATGTTGGAGCGCTAGAACTGAATAAAACTTCTTATCCAAACAATATCACCAACATCAAAAGAAATAGTAACAAATAATATTAATAATTTTAATATATAATAGCAACAAATAATATAAATAATTTAATATAAAGCAATGCGCTTATAACAAATGTGACTCAACTCTAACAAAAAATATCACTAAGTGATCCAAAAGAAAGGGCACAAAAATCCCTGTAACAAACTCAAGTTGGTCTAAACTAACAAAAAAATTTACCAAAACGGTGCAGAGAAGCATCAACAAACTAACTCTCAACCAAACATAAGAAAAATCAAGTGTAAAACCAATAACCAAATTTACACTTCCAATAAAAGCCAACTAAATGTGAGGTTAAAATTTAAAGCAAGAATAAACTAACAAAATCCAATCTTTAACAAAACGTGAAATACAAGTCCCTACCGTCCTACTGTACCTCTCCACAGGGTTACTCTGAGGTGTGTACAATGTGTTATAAAAAATTTAGTAATGTTGTAACCTCTCATGAAATCTACAAAATGTTTAGAAGTGAATTGAGCACCATTATCGCAAACTATTAATTTAGGACAACCAAATCTAAGAAATATCTCTTTTTCAAGGATTCTACAATTGGATACGGTGGTAGCTTTTACTAATGGAAAAACCCAGCAAAATTTTGTGAAAACAACTACAACTGAAAGAATATATTAGTGTGAGGTGCTGTGCTTATAGGCTTTACATGTGTCACAAGATCTACTGTAATTTTGAACATCATTAAACATACCATTCCAAACATAATGTTGTTTTAATTTCTTAGTGGTTCCATGAATCCCAAGATGACCAGAATTAATATCATCATGGTTAGACTTAATAGTATCAAGAATGTGTTCCTAGGAATAACAATTTTCCAATTTAATCTACTATCCAGATTTAATTTATTCTTACAAAATTTATACAATGTGTGGTCATCAACCCTGAAATTTTTATATCTAGAAGAGACTCACTAGGCTTTTGTTTGCGAATGCGCAGTTCATGCTCCTAACAGCTATCATAGTCCGGCCTATCAAAACGTCTAAGCAAGGCAGCCTTAAGCTCAACCCACGAAGAGATCTTCATACGAATAGTCCTAAACCACTTGGCAGCAGTACCAGCAAGCAGATCAGCAAACGAACCAATCAACACGGCCTCATGAAAGTTCCTGAATACAAAGTAATCCTCAACACGAGTGATAAATTCTCTAACACAGGTCTTACCGTCAAAGATTATCTTGCTCCTAGTTAAATCAGGCAGCTTCGTAGTATAGGCAGGCATATTCCTCCTAACGTGTTCATTCATGCTGTTGAACGAAGGCAGACTTGGTGCAAGAGCAGGAGTATCACGAACATATGACAAGTCTAATGGGACGCTCATCTCCGCTGACTCATCCGCAGCTGTGTCAACATCCACATTGGCAGGCGACGTTGAAGGTGGAGCCTCCTTGTCCATATTACAAACCGACATTAACCACACAATTCCAAAACAGCCGTTCAAAGGTTAAGTTCTATAAAGTTAATTAAGTTTAAATTTATTCAAAAGTCACTGTTGTGAAAACCTAGGTTTAAATTATTTAAAAGTTAAATCTTATGAAAGGATAAGTTTAAATTTATTTAAGAGTTAAATGTTGTAAACAACCAGGTTCAAATTATTCAAAAGTTGAATATTGTAAAGAAAAGTCTAAATTGATTTGAAAGTGAATTGAAAAAGCTAAGTTTTAATTTAAATATCTAAGTTCTGTATTAAAAAGGATTTAAGGATTGCAGTAACCACTAACAATTGTTCTAGTAACTAAATAATAACAGCAAGGCTAAGCTAAGTTAAGTTAATCTTAATTTACAATAAGTTATATTATAATAATTCCAAAGCGGAGGTATCTATAAAATGTTTCTTGAGCAGACTTACAATTAACATTCAAAGCTATTAAATTGTAACACAAAATGTTTCAGTAACTATACCCTTAATTGAGAATACAATAGGCAGCAGTATAACTTAAATTATTGTTGTTTGTTAAAGCAAAAATAACATTGTAAAGGAAAGTCACAATGTTGTAAACTATTATTGAAAAATTGTAAAAATAACCTCACTTAATGATAATACAATTATAAAATACACAAGGTATGTAAGAAAAATATAGGATGCAGTAAAGACAGTATCTAATCAGTTATCCAATTAACCTACAGACACTACTTCAGTCCCTGAGCGCTGGCGACAATTGTAATAATAAAAAATTAAAAAATAATTTTTATATGTGTGTTGGGTGTGTTTAAAAGAAATTAACTAAAATTGAAAAGAATTGGTGGCATCAAATAGAAACAAAATAACAAAATAAAAGTCTCGGGCGCCAGATACCACCTTAAAAGAACACAGAACCCACCACAAACACAACAAATACCTCGGACATCTCAGCCAGCGTTGAACCTTTTTAAAACAAAGCGGGAGGACAGCTAATGAATACAAGATGTTAGGTTCTATTGGCAGTTTATTATCCCGTAGTGTCTGTAGAGTACAATGTGTCTTATGTCTCTAATTACATTAGGTAATTCTTATACACAAATTAGTACTGTCATTAATGCAATCCTTTCCAATAAGAAAAATATAAGGTTAAATAAATTTTAAAGAGTCACATAAAGACTAAATAGACAAAACAGTAAACTCTAAAGGTAGACATAGCATTGACCTACTCTCTAATGAAAAATAACACCGCTTGTGGACCTGCAGTGCTCAATGCCACGTCGCCAAGAAAAATATAACAAAAACACATACCGCAAAACAATGACCTTGGACCAGTCCGAATGACATGAAATCAAACCAACTCCGAAACTTCTCACTCCGGATCCCACGTGGTGGAAGAGGCGGGTCAGCACTCCCAGGCTCCAGACTATGGCGTACAGCTAAGCAGCTTTTCCTACCATTCTGGCGCTCCACAGCAAACTAGTTACTTGGGGTTAAACTCCGGCGAGAGACAAAAAATCGAATGCCACGCAAGGACATTCCAATAAGAAAGTAAATAAATTTAGGTATTGTAAAGACTTTAGATATAAGCCAGAAAAAAGAAAAGAACCCTGATTCATCAGGGTTCTAAAATGCTTCACAAATCAAGCAGCGGCATTATAAGCATTATAAGCATTGCCTTTCTTATCAAAAATAATCACTCGATCCACTAGCTCGAGTCTTAACTAGGTTGGCCAAACTTTTAAAGAGGAAATAGGCCCTCGTCCATATCAAATAAATACGGATTTCTAAAAAATTAAATGACAAAATTTGTTTTGCGTCATTTCGCTCGGCGGCCGGTCCAAAAGTGAAAGTCAAAGTGATACCAGTGCAATCGCCTCTCGCTCTATAGAGCGGGGACACAAAAATGTTGCCTGTACAAGAAAAATAAATCGACTAACTACTGCGGGCGAACAACATCGATTATTACTCTCGTCCGCCCCTCGACCATCGGCACACGCAGAAACGACAAAAAATTCAACCTAACAAAACAAAAACGAGACCAAGGTTCAAATTACTGTAATGGTGCGAAATGCACCGTTACACTTTTTAACATAATAACTGTGTTAATAATTTATTTTATGCTGTATGTATATCATGTATCGTTGGGGGTGTTTCCTTTCATATGTCTTATTTATATATTATTTGTGTATTTTTTAAGGGACACATTGCCTGACATAAGAGCGATTACCATGGCCGAAATAGGTATTTGGATGGAGAAGTTTCCTGCACATTTTCTAGATGATCTTTACCTGAAGTACATCGGCTGGACGTTGCATGACAAGGTTCGTGCATATCTATGTGAATCTTTAGCGACTTAAATTGAACATTCATTTATTAAAGTGAGCGTGATATCAAATCTTATCTCATACTTTAAGGTGGGAGAAGTTCGGCTTCGCTGCTTACAAGCTTTGCAGCCCCTATACGAGTGTGAGGAGTTGAAAGGCAAGCTAGAGTTGTTCACTTCCAAGTTTAAGGATCGCATCGTTTCTATGACGCTGGACAAAGAGACGGACGTGGCCGTGCACGCCGTCAAACTCGTCATCGCCATTCTCAAGTGAGTTCTCGTTTATGCCGTCGTATCTATGGTACGTTCGTGTTCGTGGCAGTACGGCTCACGTGCGCGCTCCCGCCGCAGGTCGCGCATGCACCCCGACGTGCTGACGGACAAGGACTGCGAGAACGTGTACGAGCTGGTGTACTCGTCGCAGCGCGCGGTGGCGGCGGCGGCGGGCGAGTTCCTGAACGTGCGGCTGTTCCGCGCCGACAGCGAGGAGCCGGCCGCGCCCGCGCGCTCCCGGCGCGGCAAGGCGCGGCTGCCCAGCACGCCGCTCATCCGCGACCTCGTGCAGTTCTTCATCGAGTCCGAGCTGCACGAGCACGGCGCCTACCTCGTCGACTCGCTCATCGACTCCAACCCCATGATGAAGGACTGGGAGTGCATGACCGACCTGCTGCTCGAGGAGGCCGGCCAGGGCGAGGAGGCGCTCGACAACCGCCAGGAGTCGTCGCTCATCGAGCTCATGGTGTGCTGCGTGCGCCAGGCCAGCACTGGCGAGCCGCCCGTCGGTCGCGGCGCCTCCAGGAAGCACCACCACATGCTGTCCAAGGAGCAGGCCAAGGTATCGCATCCTCCCACTTTTTAATGTAGGGACTGAGTAGTCGTTTTTTTTTCATTATTTATGTAGTGTCTTTCTAAATTTATACCTACTAGCTGAGACCCACGGTGTTACCCGCGTTTGTTGTTATAACCGCGGGCAACGCCGCGGGGAGAAGCTAGTCTAAAAAAAGTAGCCTAAGTTACTCCATATGTCATCAGCTATCTGCCAGTGAAAGTCCCGTCGAAATCGGTTCCAGAGATTACCTGGAACAAACACAGACAGACAAAAAATATAAAAAATGTTGTTTTGGCATATGTACCGTGTAAACATACATACGCATTTAGTAAAAAGCGGTTATTTTAATGTTACAAACAGACACCCCGATTTTATTTATTTGTATAGATATTCGCCTTACAAGTATGTCCTTATGTCAGTCGTTTTGTCACATTGTTATTGTGTGATTATTGTCACAAGTTGAATCTTATCATGGGTACCAATGTTTATAACAGGTAATAAATATCATGTTTCTATGGCAAACCGAGAAATAAATCTTATTATTACATCGTCTATCTTATTATTACATCGTCATATAATATTGACACGTGTTACAACTTCGACTTACGTACAGGTGGTGAGCGACGACCGTACGAAAATGACAGCGCATTTTATCGTCACGTTGCCGGCGCTACTGGACAAGTTCGGAGCGGACCCGGAGAAGCTCACCAACCTGGTGTCCATCCCACAGTATTTCGATCTAGAACTATATACTACACAACGACAGGAAGGTGTAAGTAATTCGGATCTTTAATACTGTTGATCGATGTTACTTGGTGGAACTTGCTATATATATTGAAGCCATAATATTAATTTTATCGAAAAAGTATTGTGGAGTAGTACAAGTGACTCCTGATTATAATATTAAGTATTTTAATTGTATTCAAGTATTAAATGCAACAGTTTGTGCATTTTTTGTGTAGTTTATGCATTTATAAGGAATATAAGAAATCATCATCGAAATCAGAAAGAATCATCTTTATATAAAAATAATCTTTTATTTTCGGTCTAAAGCAATTTTTATGTGACAAAATACTTTTAACGTCGGTGGAAAAAGTGTACGTATAAAACAAACATAATCCCCGTGTGCGCAGAATCTGAGCTTGCTACTGAACAAAATCCGCGAGGTAGTGAACGTGCAGACGGAGGCGGAGGTGCTGGAGACGTGCGGGCGCACGCTGGAGTACCTCTGCACCGAGCAGAACGGCGTGTACACGCGCTGCAACGTGGCCCGCGCCACCATCACCGACATGTGCGTCAACCGCTACAAGGAGGCCATCGACGAGTATCGCACGCTCATCGAGGGGGTGAGTCCGTCTAGCTCGCGCGCACTCGTAGCGTTCTCTCTGCAATTCGTACACGTACGGTTCTCGACAGGGCGAGACCCCGGACGCGGACGAGGTGTTCAACGTGATCAACTCCCTGCGGAAGGTGTCGATAATGTACATGTGCCACAATCTGAACGACACCAACATCTGGGAGTCGCTGTTCGAGGACCTGCCCAAGTGCGTGAAGGAGAACGAGACGCAGATGCCGGTGCAGGCGCTGGTGTACGTGGTGCGCGCGTGCTTCTACTCCATCCTGTGGTCGCTGCACGGCGTGGAGCAGCGCCTCAGCGAGCCCGGGCCCGGCGCGCTGCGCGAGCGCCTGCGCGCCTACATCGCGCACTGCCGCGCCATCGTCGCCGCCGGCCTCACGCCCGACCTGCGCGAGGAGGTACATACACGCAGACCTGTATAACTATATACACATATCACCCGTTCAACTACATTGACGATATAACACATATAAACACGTATAGTGTATATACACAACATAGATATATATTTCTGTCGGCACTGTTGGAATCGAAAAAATAAAAATATTGCCCGTTTTAATCAAAAAATTTCAAGTTTTCACTTCTGTCGACGCTCCCGGAGTGCCACTGTTCGTTTGATCTGTCTTTTAACACCGTCGAATAGTATCTGCAATGTTACTACGTGATGCGGCCGCGTAAACAAAAATGTGTCAGTCCAATCCGTTTTGATTGATGTTTATACAATATGAACGCAATGATACTCAATGCGAGAACACTCTTGCATTCAGGAACAGCTGTAACGATAAGTAAAATAATAATTAATTTATACAGCCACTAATTTTTACATTCGTTTACGAGCCTACTGACGTCACGACCGCAGAGCGATATGGCGTCTACTGCGTCCACAGTAATTAGTCAAATTACATTACGAAATTTTAAAAAGTAAAATTTAAACGTATTTTTATCATCTTCATCGTGAAAGCATTTGTTTTAGATATGGAGGCGTGTAATGAAAAATGACATTTGTAATATAAACGAGTAAATAATAGTGTGTTATCGTACGCTAGGCGTACACGAGCCTGTGCGACCTGCTGATCTTCTTCGCGGAGCAGCTGTACACGCTGCACCACCCGGGCGAGGCGGACATGCGCCAGCTCGTGTACGAGCCCGACGCCGCGCTCTGCGACATGCTCAACGACTTCATCCAGGAGTTCGTCTTCGTGCACCACAACTACGGTACCGTGCCCTCCCGCACCGCCTTGCACCACACACCACACACCACACACCACACACTTGCACTTGGCCGACCGCTTTGGACTACGACAACTTCGTGTCTATTGAACTGAAAGTCTCCAGTGAACGAATTGGCGATACTTCTCTAGTCCGTTATCCACATTTGCGGTAATGTCATACAAACATGTTACATTCTCCATTTATCGTTTAAAGTCCATTCATTGTTTGAATTCCATTGTCCACTGAGCCGTAAAGAATATTGCATACAGTTTTTTTTAATAGTCTTCTTTTTTTTCAAAACTACCGTCAGTCCAAGGTGTGTCTTAAAAGTCTTTAGTTTAGTTTAAAATGCGCGGTAGACGTTAATATGCAATCTAATTTTGTTATCCGATTAATAAATAATTAAAATATATTAATAAACTAAATATATTAATAAATTTCCTTTGGCATTCAATTTATTGAAAACATAAGTTTTACTCTTTTGAGTAAACCCGAATGTATATCATTTATAAATTATTGAATATTGTTATGAGTTCATAGAATAAAAGGATTACCAAAATGAACACTCATAATATTCGAATTAGATTGTTTATTAATTTCAATAAATATTAACGGCAAATGTTGACTGTTAGTCATTTTTGTACAAACGCATAAGATGTCAATGGGGGATTCTAAAACAAAACAGATCTAGATTCAGGTCATTGGTCATCGTCAGAGAGTTGTACGATCTCTAGAATATTACTTCAGTGTGAAGTACTGTCAACATTAGTACTACGAGTATATAGCAAGTTGTGTCCAGTACATTTAGTTTTGTTGTTATAACATATCTTGTCTCACACCTTTCTTTTATTAGTGATGGGCATAATTGCATTGCTGACACCGAATATTTATAAAAATGAAAACAAAGTTTTTGACTCTGTTCATTAAATTTGTGAGTACATACATTTTGGTGTACAAAAATTAAGTCAAAATTAAATTTTCGAATTGAATTTGAATGGTTAAGTTAATCATATGGATAAATATTTGGAAACGTGGGCTTTCGTTTTTTTCTGAGATGTCTTTCAGAAATGTTGACTCGAATGTTAGATTTTGTACTTAATACAAATGCCTAACTATCAACTTTTGCTGTTCCAATGGACTCTAGTTAGAGAGTGTCAATCTTGAGAAATCGATCTAAAATGTGAACAACTCTGCAACCTTGATGAATTGTTTCAATGAGAATATTACAGTGAGGTGTCTCATTTTAGATCGATTCATGTTCGCATATCATCAGGTTATTGATGGTACAGTTTCTTATCTTCGTGTTCTAAGTTTCTGACCTATATTGTGTATTTGGCAAATTAAGAATAAAAATATTTTATTTATTATCTAAAATACTTAAAATGTACAAACTACTAGTGGGGTGACCGATACTCACGTGCACTTGTGGTCAATTTTCTGTTTAAAATTGTGTTTGAGTAAATGGAGCTATCTAAGGGTGTGGTGCACTTTGTGGGTACTCATCGTGGATAGAGTTGTGAGTGCTGTTACTCGTGACTAAATAACTATCTAAGAGCGAGCAGTTGACCAGTACGTACAACAGTTTGCTAACTCGCGACTAATGGTGCTCGCACTAGAAGGAGGTGTGCGCCTCTCGGTACTTTCGAACAGTCACTGCTGCAACGTATAAAACAAACAGTGGCCGAGAAAAAAATATGCATTATTAACGTCGACGTAAAGTCGGTAACGAGAAGCGATGGTGCCCGTGTCTCGGTGCAGGCGCGGAGACTAGGGTCCTAGGGTCCTAGGGCCCAGGGTCGATGCGATAACGGTGTGGTATGTTTGGTTGCATGTCACGCCCCGCGGGCTGTCGTGTCGCGTACGTTTCGACGCCGGTAAGCCACTTGCTCCGCACTCCGTTCGCACTAGATGACACACCGACGGCGTATTTTACCTTAGTAATGGCGCGACCTTCCCACGCCGAGCCCGTGCCGCGCTCACTGTTCTACGATTCTTGGAAAACGACCTCTAGCCTCGCCGCTCTTTACTTTGCGGCCTCAGTATCTCCTCTTCGAACCGGAGACCCGCCGAGGGACGTCAGGCTATTCGTGTTTTCAGCGAGTTATATAAATTTCCGATGAATAGTAGAACTTGTGCCGCGGTCACCGTCGTCGGTCGACCGTCGCCGAAGATTGCGACCCGGCCGTCAGCGTCAACGTTCGCCTCCCGACAATACCTCGAGCACTACGTACTATACGTAAGCGCGCCACGAATACCTTCACAAACATATTCTAGAAGAAAGAATATCAATATTTAACGGCATCAGTCGTCGTCATTATAATTGTCGCTTCATCGAACAGAACCACTCAGTATCTGGTATTTCGGTATCGTCAACACCGTTAGTAGGCGGAACTACTACACAGCGAAACCAGGCGATAGGTCGGTTCGCAGGTCGACGTAACGTTTGGTCGCGGTGCGGGTGCTCGCGGTAGGTGCGGGCGGACGCGGTCGCGGGGCGCGGGCCGGGCGGGGGTGGGGGGGTGTTCGCCCGCGCAAATAATGCATATTTTTGTCTCCACGCGACGAGCGGACTCTGTGCACTCGCTATGTGTTATTACTTAACATTACTAAGGGAAAATTTGTCGCGCCCGCTTCATAAACACGATCCGAGACCGTCTGCGGCGCGCGGACCGCGCTCGTGCCCACGCGACTCCTGCGCACGGCGAGGAAGTGCTCGTACGATTCAATATCCTAACGTGAATAGTGCACGGCCCGTGTTCGCCGGCGGTGTCGGATTGGATATAAATAAATTAACACACTTGAAGAGTTTTGTGAACTTGGCATGATTTGTGCAGTGTATACTATTATTATTTTTGCATTTTTATTTCTTTTATAGAGCATTGACAGTGTCATTTTATTCGAATCGAAATGTTAACAAAAGATGATCGAGAAAGAAACGGCTTGTACTAAACACGACGGGGTGGGGTACTTTCCTGCGACTAATGTGTATCGAGGGATTCATGTAATCGTGCTTTATCGTTTCCTATAATATGTAGCCCGTAGCGCAGTGCATGACTACACTCTAAGACGACCACCTCAACTTGTGCTAGTGTCACTATCGTAAATATTGAGTGATGTCGTTTAACGATAACGAAAATACATCAGTCACAACTTGAGGTCTAGTACACAATACGATGTTTTTATGTCTAATGCAGTTCTTAGAGCTCAAGTTCACTTATCATTAAAGGAAAACTAAACGTGACATAAAAACATCACTAATATTGTTAGTATCTGTTGGAATGAATGAATCCAGGCAGAACGCACAAAGAGTGTATGATAGTGACACGGGGGTGGGTGTTGCAGACGGTCAAGACGAGAGACGGATCGAGGAGCTGCACAAGCGCCGCAACTTCCTCGCCGCCTACTGCAAGCTCATCGTGTACAACGTGGCGCCCATACGCAGGGCCGCCGACGTCTTCAAGCACTACATCAAGGTACCCATACACGCGCACTGTCTCCGGGCCCCGAATGTGGCGGATAATACATTTGTTGGTACATCTAGTCGAGGCCATGTAATAGATTTATTTTTGACGTGTGTTTGCAGTGCTACAACGATTACGGTGACATAATAAAAGCGACTCTGAGCAAGGCGCGCGAGATCAACAAACTGAACTGTGCGCTCACCATGGAGCTGGCCATGCAGGCGCTGTATACCGAGATGTTGGCCCGGCATCGAACCCTGCACCGGCAGCTGCCGGAGTTCTTGGAACTCAAGGTATTCCACTTTCGCCAGATTCTTATTAATCGTCTGCATGATCTACTCTTTAGCGCAATCGTCATCTTGATATTAAATTCCCTAATTATTTGTATATTTAACAAGTTATGGAATGCTTCCACTCAGTTTTGCAGTCTTTGATCAGTGTATTTATTTGTGGTACCTAGCGGTCCAGATGCTGAAACAACTTATTTCAAAACTTGTTTCGAGAAATCCAAACACCAAGTGTCCAAATTGTCAAACGACATGACATTATAAACCTTTGAAATTTTCGTATTTCCTGTACTATAATATGCATGTATTACAATTGAATCACTCTCTTTATTGGTGAAACCGTATTGAAATACGTTAAATAGTTTCACTACCTAGTGATTTTTAACAAGCACATTTAACTCGAAATCAAGTTTTGATTTCGAGTTAAATGTGCTTGTTAAAAATCGATCGAATTTTTGTTACTGCGATTAAGTCATCGGTCTATGTAGCCATCTCTCTTAGCCGTGGTCTCGTGCGCAGGAGTTGGCGAAGCGCTTCTCGGTGATGTTCGGGCTGGACGCCGTCAAGAACCGCGAGGCTCTCACCGCGCTGCACCGCGCCGGCATCTCCTTCGCCGCGCTCGACCAGAGCGGCCACTCGCCTCCGCCCAACCTGCTGTTCCTCGAGCCGCTCGCCGAGTTCTCCAACAAGCTGCTGCGCCAGGACAAGCGGCAGGTCGGCGAAGTCTCACATTTCTCACGGTCGAGTTCGAGCGGCCGTTAACATACGATATTTTAAAGTAACGTGTTGGTGCAGGTGCTGAAGTTCCTGGACTCGCGCATCCCGCACGCGGTGCAGTGGGGCGACGACTGGGCGGCGCTGCTCGCCTACCGCGGCTCGCTGCTCACCGACGTGCCCGACGAGCGCCCGCCGCCCGTGCGCAAGCACTACGCGCGCCGCCCGCGTACGTACACCACGCGCACCGCGCAAGCACATACACTACACACACACCACACACACACCACACAGACACCACACACACAAACACCACACACACACCACACACACACACACACAGACACCACACACACACACACACACCACACAAACCACCCACACAACCCACACAACCTCACACACGCCACCCACTCAACCCACCCACAAAACCCACCTACACAACACACCACACACAGGTCCACACACACAACCCACACACGCATCACACACGAACCACACACACACACCATCCACACACACTGCACACACACCACCCACACGCCATATACGAAATGCCAGTATATAAATTACAGTAATTTAAATGAAGTTAGTTTTTTAATTTTGTTATGATCATATATTAACATACTGACTGATAAAATAATAACTCTATTTTACGAAACCGTTTAGTTAAAGGTTGAATTATTTATTTGCAGGCGGTCAGAACGAGGACGACGAGGGTGAGGACAACGCGGACTCTGATCAAGAGCAGCCCGGGTGAGAATCGCTGAGAGCCGAGAGCTCTGATCGCGCCCCCGACCCCGACCCCGACCCCGACCCCGACCTCAACCCCAACCCCAACCCCGACACTGACACCGAGACCGACACCGACCCCGACCACTCGTACGCTCGCGACAACACTTGACACGAACCTCCACAAAAATTCGTCTTGCGTTTCTATACGCGTTCATCATAATTAAAAAAAAACATACTTATCTTACCTGAAGGATGGACAGTTAGAAAAATCACATACATAACATACATATCGATGAAATCTTGTACAGTAAGTTAATCAATGTAATTTGACTGAATTTAAATGATAGAATGAAGGGGGCCTTATAGATTTATTGCAGTAGTTAGTGTGTATACAGATTGTAATGTACGATAACATTAGTGTCTCGGAGCGACCGTTGTTTGTTACGTTGAATATTGTGTAGTTAAGTATAAGTTCGTAGCTGTAGCTAGTATATATAAAATAAATGGGCAATCAGATGAGTGATTGCGTTTGTTAACATGTTACACTGACCGTGTTATCATCAGAATCCTTCACGTTTGTTTGTTAACTTGTATGACAGTGCTATTTGTGGAGTCAAGTGTAAGTTAACAAGTACGCGATCGCTCTAATTATTATATCTAATTGTATGTATACAGTTGTTAAAGAAAGGTTTCATATTTTACGGTTGAATTTAATAAAATTCAACCTTAAAATATGAATGAATGATTTTAATAAAAAAAATCTTTTACGAAACTGACAATTTAAACTGCAAAATGTTTAAAACTTAATATCTTTTTATTAAATTTTATTAACTTGATATTTAATCATCGTCACGGTGTGCAGAATAGTCATATTAAATATGTTTTTAAAGTTTTTGATGTGTGCATCATCGATTTTTTGCGATCTGTCGAAATGATGTCATGAGTAGGGACGGCAACGTGTAACAGTAACGCTTTGGTACATATAACACCATTAAAGCGGAGCAGACCTCTCTGTAACAACGTGTACATAGCGAGGAAGTTGATGTATTATTGTATTTTATGGAACGTAGTAAATGTATGTAATAATAGTTTCTGAGATGTGCAGTGTACAAAACGTGTCATATAGATCGAGATTATCGTGCGTGTGAGTTTTGTAGACTGTACGTCGTGACATGTAATGTTGAATAATCTAATTATGTGACATTGTAGTTGGGACATATGATATATTTTTATAATAAATTATTTTTATTATATACTTATTTGTTTTATTGTATCAAATGTATAGTAGGTACAATATACAACTCTACTTGAAGAAAACAAAATATATTTAGCTCTAACACGTTTATTTTAAATAAAAAATATTCGGTTACAATAATGTGAAGATATTACAATCATCAATCATTTTTCTTTAATGCACCGAATGCTGTTTTAATTCACATGCGGCATTCCTATTAAATTGTATATCCGCTTCGATGAGTAGAACGTCAATTCTTGTAAATACAATCGTTCAAAATTTAGTTCCCATCTGCTCTTGGTCTCACAAATGTCATAAAAGTTATTCTCGTAGTAAAGTATTACTAGGATCAGCAGGAACGAACGCAGCATTACGAACTGTTCACAATACGAGTTGTTTAAAATTTCACTACGAGAATACATTTTAAAACATTTGTGACATCGAAATTGAACTTTGAACGAATTTTTGTTACGAGAATCCACCATCAGAATGGAAAATGAAAGAAAGTCAGATCCCACTCGGAGTAGTAGCCATGAGCTGGGTCTCATATCCCCTAATGGATCAGTATTCTTATTATAGGAACTTTCAAGTTAGCTGTCAACTTGTGATTTATATACATATCATGCCTTGATAAAGGTAAGAAATAGTATTTTTCATATTTCCGCTTAAGAAAAGTGTCCAGAAGGCGTGAATGTGGTCTTACAACATGCACGTCTTCACGTCACCTCACACTTTTCTTAACGGGAAATGACTGACTGTAATAATTTATTATTACAGTCAGTCATTTCCTGTTATGAAGTTGTTGGTTACATACATAAAAATTACTGTAATGCATGTGGTACCGTTGGATAAGGATATTGTATTGTTCAAAATAGCTTCGTAGATTACCCTTAACTTTTTGTAATATGTAAAAAATAAAAGTGGTTATTGTGGGTTATCCTTAGGAGATAAACATTAATATACTATCGGGGACTTTCTGTAGATCTTTTTAAGAAATACAATTCCGTAGTACATTTTTTTGATCTATCTCGTAAGGTTCAGTCGGCGTTTGCAAGTAAACGCATAAAAACTTGTTTTTACGACTTCACATTACGAATCTTTGAAATTTCTCTACCGTAATATGCATGTAAAATACATATAAACCCTCCTCTTGATCATTCTCTATTGCTGAAAACCGCATTATATTCGTTGCGTAGTTTAAAAGATCTTAGCGTAAAAGAAAAAAGCGACTACATTTTATAGTATGTAAAGATAAAGATAATGTGTTGTTTGTGGCAGGAGGAAGCGCCGCCGACTGCTGCGAGTGCCGCGCCTCGCCCGCGCGCTCAGGTACGTGCCGCGCCCGGCCCCACGCCCGGCCCTCGTAGCCACGGGACCTTTACCCTTCATTGCGATATACGTGGAAACGGTGTTGGCAATACGCCGCTAAGCCTGATGAACGCCGTACTCGATTACTTCGAGATAATCAGGCTGCAACTATGACACCTTTCTATTACGTCATGTTACTTCATACCCGGTGCACTAGATGGCACTAAAATATTTTTTTTTAAACATGTAACACTCACCACTGTTGCCATTAATTATTATCAAATGTAGTAAATTAGGAATAATTAGGAATAATCGCGATATTATTAGTTTTATAAAAACACACCCAAACTTTTATCGCAACCTACTTTTGTCATCCGTCCTAGCCGATCCCGTGGCGCCACCTATAGAGCGACTCATTTTACCATGTCTTATGAGTTGGTGGCAGATACGTTTTCAAAAGCAGTCATCGACCACCCCTACAACGATATTCGTATTTACGATAGCGACAATTACAATGTTTCCGTAACGACAAAAAATAGTATCGCTAGTGAATCGTGGTGAAGGGTCGTCTAGACAGACGCGTTTAAAACCATGGAATGAAAATAAGTCAAATTCATTAGATTTGTATGTTAGAGGGGGCAGACGAGCAGACGGGTCACCTGATAGAAAGTGACTATCGCCTCCCATGAACATTATCTTTCATCTGCAGAGGTAAAAGGGATTGACTATAGAAATTATTAACGTTTACTACCTGTAAATTTAATATTTGATATTCCTTAAAGTATAATAAAGTCAAAAATGTCATAAAGTATATTTCAGACTTATATCTGAAAGAAAGAAAGAAAGAAATTCTTACGATATTAGCGATAGTTTTATACGAATGGATTTGTCATGACATTTATTAGAAATATTACTATTATATGAAAGTAGGGTTTAATGACTTGTATTGCCAACTACAATTCCTATATAAGATGTATGTTTTGCGCAGAAGCAGCAGCACAGTGAATACGTCGTACTCGCATGCTTCCTCCGAGATAGAGCACGACACGTCTTCCAGGGACACCACTGTCACCACTGAATCTTAGCACTTATATACACATTACCTTACAGCACCCGCCTGCCCTAGGCTCGAAGTGCAGAATAGAGCGAAGTATTTATCTTCTCATCGCCTTTAAGATAACACTGCCTGAAACAGTATTTGATTGAATATTTAATAAGTATTTGATATTAGTATTCATAAGCGAAATTATCCAATTTGTGGATAATGTATTAAATTAATAAAAGTTGGCGGGCGACTTTCAGAAAGCACCATCAAAATTTTATTTTCTTTTGGATATTGTTTTTCGCATTTGGTTTTTTAACGTCCCTTGGCACCAGGCTCCTAGAGCAACCGCACTAATTGAATAGTGTATAGTGTGTGTGAGTGAGTCACGTGAGGTACGCACACATATTATTGGCTGTGATTAAATAGGAGAATATGTAATATCCCCTTTTAAGATTTATAGAAATATGTGGTTGTGAATGTCGGGCGTCAATGTTGCCTATCGTTCGCTACATTATTTGTACACTGAGATAAGTAAGGTGAAAATGAAATGATTCTATGCACGGTTATGTTGGTGTATGAAGTCTTATTTACTGGAACTACTTACATAGTAACAGTAAAAAAGATAATTGTTATTATTATTACTCAAAATAGTCACATTTTAATATATCGAAATAAGAAGCCATTCGCAGCCATTTTATCATCAAGTAACAGTATCCAGGACCGTCAGACTGGGTATTTTGATGTGTAACATCTTTCCTTTCGCTATCCCGTGGGAGCGATTTCGTGAAAGGGGACGGATGTGTGTAACAGCCGGAGAATGGAGCGCCAATTGATTTCACAAAAGAGTGCGCGCCGATCTAAAAAATACTACTCCCTCCGGTAATTTGATATTAAAAAATGCGTTAAATATTCAATATGTTAAGTAATATTAAATTCTTCAAATAATGACTGCATCCTCGCGTTTATAAGATGGTCTCACGCTGCAGATAAAGCTGGCTTACCTAATAATATAATAAATAATATAACTGTTTGTCTCAAGTTACATTACTTATTTTTGATACTTTTACATTTTTATATAGTTTTTTTTAAGTAATAAAGTGTTTTAAAATTTACAATATTTTTATTGTTACTTCTGCCCTCGTACCCTGTCTTGATCGAGTCCCTTGTCCATAGTTCCTGTTAAGGATACTCCGTAATTGCGAAAAGTTGATTATGTAATGGTGGCAGAGAAATGTACAAACGTACACAGTATTGGTAGAAGAAGAAGACTCTTTGTTTACTCTGTACATGCTGACATGTACAGAGAAAACAAAAAGTCGAAGAAGAAGAGTCTTTTCACGTTCGTGGTCACATCAGATATTTGTTGATTATCACTGTTAACATTTTCACACCATTTATTATTGAATTATAAAATGCAGTGAAAAATTACTTGACACATTACACAACTGTAGTCGAAAGTTTGGATGTTCTGCTCTGCAACCAGTGGGAATTCTCATCCCAGATTATACGGCATTAGCCAAAAGTTTGCAAAAATACACTAGGCGACACACTGGTCGCAATATTTCGTAGTAGGTATAGTATAAAACATGCTTTACCTTACATTTCTCGGTGTACATTTCTAAATTAATAAATGATTAATTAGGAACTTTCATCTTCATTTCAACAGTTCAACCTGTCCGATTATTTTCAGTAAAGTGTATAGCTACACAATGTTAAGATGAGCGGTTGAGCAGTTAATCCCAGAAATATTAAAGATAAAAGACAAATAAACCATCGTACAACTGCATTTATAATATTAGCATGGATTGGTTCGGGTTAGGATGAGCTTGCCTTAATATGACATACCTATAGATACCGTCCTAGGCATTTCACATTGACACGGGACGTCGATCAGTCGGTTTCACGTATGGATTGTAGCTTAAACGCATTTAAAAATGTACTACAATTATTTATTGCTTTAGTACTTACAATTATAAAAAAAAGCCGTGTGGTGTCGTGGGACACCCGATAGGAACGAAGTTGTGACGATCAAGTAAAACTGATTCGACACGATTTTAATTACAACACCATCTATGAAAGCGGCTATTACCTACATATTGGTCAGTTGGTTTCTAATTAAAAATCTCCTTGAGACATGATGTCGAATACAATGTTTTTTGCTCAACCTAAGAACATTAATTTTAATTTTACTGAGATGAAAAGTAATGATTTTCTATCTATTCGATAGATGGCGCTGAATGACTGACAAGTGACAATTCAAAATAAAAAGTGTTACAACTTTTCGTGATATTTTTTTCCGTCTAGCTTTGTTTCACAACGCGCGATAAGGAACTTCGTTCCAATACAAATGATTACCCTATTATAACACTTTATTGAACAGTAGGTATTTAAACTGCTTGAAAGAATGGCTATGAAATGGTAAACACTGATAAAGGAAATTAAAATAAACAAATAGGAACTTACTACACTTCATTGAACGAACTGATGATATTTTTATTTCTTTTCCTCGGGTCTTAGTCGCTTAGATGATAGTTTCAAGAAATTAGATATTTACTAGAATTAGTTTCCTATGAATGACATTTTAAGACACTCAAATTATAGTCAAACTAGATTCCGCCCGCAGCTTCGCCTGCGTGTATTTAAGTAAACGTGATTCTTTTTTCACCCGGTTTGTATAGCATAAGATTTTTTTGCGATTTATTTAACAATAATCCTTCTATTTCAGGCAATTTACATAGAACCATCATGAATTATAGGTACACATAAACCTTTCTCAGAAATCACACTATCTATGGGTGAAAACCGTACAAAAATCCGTTCGGTACTTTTTGAGTTTATACAGACAAGACAGACGCGGCCGGTGGACTTCACTTTGTAATATGTAAGGATAGGAAGTCGCTATTATTCTTTAATACTAACTTTAGTACCTAATTAATTTGCAAATTACAGCCCTGTAGGTACGTATGTTATATATAAGTATTATTAGCAAACAGCAACTCAAGGTGTAGTTACGAAAATACAAAACAATGATAAATCTCTCTGGTGCGGGGAGGGAAGTATGTGTCGTAGGAACCTCATGTATCATTGGCAGTCCCCACACTTTGGAACTTTATAATTTAGTAAATTACACACGGTAATAGTAGCAGCGTTATTTACTTTCCTTCGCGTTTCCTTATAAATACAAAACTCATAAAACTACGTCAATGCGCGGGAGAAACGATCTAGCTTTTGTTTAAGGAAAACTTTTTAGTGGAGGAAACTGACCTACGTGCCTATCGTCTTATATTAATTGGATACAGGAGTTCTGACATTTGCTAGATCAAGAGAGAGTTGAAGGTACATTGTATTTGTCTAGTGCTTAGTTAACCTGACTATTTCTGACTGCTGAACCAGAGGCCGTGGGTTCAATTCAACCTATCCATACTAATATTATAAATGCGAAAATGTTTCTATCGTCCGAGTCCCGAGAAAGGGTAGTTTTTATTCCAGAAATCACCCTTTAAGGGGATGAAAAGGGGGGTGGAAGTTTGGGTGGGGAATCAATAACCGCTGAACCGATTTAGATTAAAATTTGGTATGAGGATACTTTGATTCTTGAGGAATGACATGGGCTACTTTTTACCGAAATTTTCAAGTAAAGGAGTAATAAATGATAGTGTGATGAGCACGACGTTTGTTCTGTGTATGGGTGTAAATTTCTTATAATATACACACATAAAAACACTTAATTACGTCTATTTGGGGGATATGCAGTAAACATGTGACAAAATCACAGTGAACTGTGATTTATCATTCAATTTTAACGTACGTAGGTTAGGGTTGCCTGGTAGGTAGGTTAGACGCTATTTAACCTTATTTAACAGTAAATCTAGTATTTTTTAAATTATTATGTAGGGAATAGTAGCTATATATAATGAAATAATTACTAGATTTACTGTTAAATAGGTTAAATAGGGTCTTTATGCATTGTCTGAAAACAGCTTATTGGCAACAACGTGTGCGTAAGTAGTGACCCTAACCTATGTTAAAAAAAATCGAATGATAAATCACCGTTCATTCACAGTTCACTGTGATTT